CACACAGAGAGACACACACAGAGAGAGACACACAGAGAGAGACACACAGAGAGAGACACACACAGAGAGAGACAAACACAGAGAGAGAGAGACACAGAGAGAGAGACACAGAGAGAGAGAGACACATAGAGAGAGACACACAGAGAGAGACACACAGAGAGAGACACACAGAGAGACAGAGAGAGAGACACACAGAGAGAGACACAGAGAGAGAGACACACAGAGAGACACACAGAGAGAGAGACAACAACAACCGCCATCAACAACCGCCATTCACCACTAAGTGCCATGTGCACCTTGAGGCCACGTGGAGTGTCGAACGCCCGCGGACAGGAGGTCACAGGGCAGACCCAAGTGCCACGGGTCGACTGACTAAGATGACTGAGATGACTGGCTGGTGCACCACCTGTGCCCCCTACTGTGCCAACCTGCTGTGCTTTAGCCACCCGGCGCTCCGCTCGTTGTTGTGAGCGTCGCTTCTCCGCCCTCCATTGTTGTTGGAAGTTGACTGCCTCCAACTGCCCAGTAGCGTCCTTCACGAGCCTCCTCCACAGAGGCCGATCTTGACACTGCTGGTACCAGTCATCGGCAAGTCCACTCAGCTCCACGTCCTTCTGTACCACATCACTCCATCTCTTCTCTAGCCCGTGCCGCGCCCGTTTAGCCCCCTCGATCCGGCCGAACAAAAGCTGTTTCGGCATGCGGTGGCTGGGCATGCGGGCTACGTGACCCAGCCAACGCAGCCTTGCCTGCCGGAGGAGCTCACCGATGGGACCTTGCCCAGATCTTTCAAGGATTTGTGAGCTCCTCACACAATCCAGCCTGGTTAAACCCAGGATGGATCGTAGGCAGGCTAGCCTAAATGTTTCTAACCGGCGAAGATGTTCCATTAGGGGGGTCCACGTTTCGCAAGCGTAGAGAAGGGAGGGAATGACCATGGCCGAGAAGACCTGAAGCTTAGTGCGGAGCGACAGACCAGGTAGCTTCCACACAGCGTTACGCAACCGATGAAAAGATATTACCGCTCGACTGATTCGGAGTGAGACCTCTGCTGTTTAAACTGGAGCTGGTCATAAGCACACTGCCCAGGTATGGGAAACTCTCCACTCTCTCCACAACTGCCCCATCACCGATTGGGAGTTGTGGGGGTGGAGTGTCCGATGGTACAAAATACCCAGGCAGGTGCTTAGTTTTGGTGGGGCTGATGGTAAGGCCCCATCTCTTAGTGGCACGCTCCAGTTTCAGCAGCAGCGTCTCCAACTCCTCCTCTGAATTAGCAGCTATTACCAAATCATCGGCATACATAACGTGGTTGAGCAATAGGGAGCCATCCCTTGATCGCACCCGGGCATCGATCAGCCTCCCATTATATCTGTACCATATGGAGATTCCCCCAGTACAGCTATTGAAGGCTTCACGAACTACGTGGTCAAAATAGATGTTAAATAATGTGGGAGCCAGAGGACATCCCTGTCGCACCCCAAGGTGTACAGGGAATGGCTCCGACTCCCGGCCACGTAGTTTTACCCGGGCCCGCTCACCATCATGAAGGTCCTTAATGAGCGTGAGCAGAGGGCCAGGGACTCCAAAAGCACGAAGAACAACCCAGAGCCCAGGCCTACTGATGGTATCATAGGCCTTGACCAGGTCAATAAAGCAAAGATGTAGGTCTTGCTGGATTCCCTACACCTCTGCTGTAGCAGACGGACAGAAAATATGGCATCTGTGCAGGACCGCCCCTGCCTGAAACCGCATTGGGGCTCCGCAAGAGAGAGACACACACAGAGAGAGAGAGACAAAAACAGAGAGAGAGACACACATGGGGGAGAGACACATAGAGAGACACACACGCAGAGAGAGACGCACACAAAGACACACAGAGAAACAACGCCTCTGTGACGAGGCATTATATATAGAGAGAGGGGGGAGGGGGTTGGGGCAGAGAAATTAGCATGTCAATGGTGACGATTGCTTGTGTTGCAATCGAAACGTCGTATTTCATTATTTATTTTCTTTCTATGTGACTTTACCGAAAGAACCAAAGAGTGATTCCTGCAGTCACGAATGCCTCAAATCAAGTTTGCATGTTACAGTGTGCTCACTGTTCTTTTTCCATTGTTAAACGATGGTCCCATGTAAGTGTTAACATTTTTTTGAAGCACACTGTGTGTGTTTGTATATATTTTTTTAATCAAGTAAGGCCCACCGGGTTGCTGTATGTAAGCTCTTTTCTCAGAAGCGACCAGCAGCAGAGTTCAATGTGGAGGGGGACAAACCTGGAGCAACCCGGCTAGAAATTCACACGACCACGGGGTAGAGAGAGACAGAGACCCCACACCGCAAACTCCAAACGTACAGCAGGCGTCGTCAGGGTCGGGATCGAACCCACGACCTCCCGTACATCGGGAGGGGTAGTTAACATCTCCTAGCCATTGTTGGCGCCCCTAATGAGAATTTGGAGTCTCCACCGCTGGTTCTGCTGATGCGCCTTCGTGAAGCGTGAGATCGTGGTAACCCTGGCGCCTCCACTCCCCCCCCTTCCCCCCCCTCCCCCCTCCTCGGTGTCCAGGTGCCCTGAAGCCAAGATCAAGCCGCTTGGTCCGATGCTGCTCAACGGACTAACAAAGCTCATCAACGAGTCCAAGGAGGTGAGCTCCTCCACCCCGTTGCGGGGCGAAGGGGCGGTATGGGGAGATAGAGAGAGGGAGGGAGGGAGGGTGAGAGGGAGGGAGATAGAGAGAGAGGGAGGGAGGGAGGGAGGGAGGGAGGGAGAGAGGGAGGGAGGGAGGGAGATAGAGAGAGAGGGAGGGAGGGAGGGAGATAGATAGATAGAGGGAGGGAGGGAGGGACGTTATCCCTTTCGTGCGCATGTTACGTGGAGCTCCCTTCGCGACCGCTACGTCGCCAGCCGCGCCGGTCGGAGGCGCGACGTCGTGGGAGCGAACGGCCAGCTCCGTCCGCCACACGCCGAAGACGGCCGCCGCTCGCCTGCCGGCCGAAGTGGCGGTGGTGTCGGCGGGCCGTGCTCTCGTAGGCCGCGCGGGAGTGTCCAAAGTGGGGGGGGGGGACTCTTTCGCTTGGCTGCAGGAGGTCACGGGACAGTTGACCCTCAGACCCAGCGGGTGCCGCAGCCACAGCCGCCACGGGGTTTCGACCGACCGAGATGACCGGCGGATGCACCGGCTGTGCTCCCCCCTCCCCACACCTTCCCCACACCCCCCCCCCCCAAACTCCATTGTAGCCGTCCCGGCGCTCCATAGTTTTTTGTTTCTGCTGAATGATCCCCGGCCTCTTCTCTCTCTCTCTCGCTCCTCTCTTTCTGTTCTCTTTTCTTAACCCCCCCTCCCCCCCCCCCCGCAGGACTCGAAGCTTCGCTCGCTCGCGTACACGGCGGTGGGAAAGCTCTCCTCGTGAGTACTCAAGACCAACTTCACTCGCCGGCAAGGGGGGGTGGATGGGGGGCGGTGGGAGTGGCGGGGGATGGACGGTGGCGTTTAACTGCATGGGTGGAACAAACGATGCGGAAACCAACGAGACCCCTGATACAAACGATAAAAAGAAGTAATTCTAGATTTGAAGCTTTCGTGACTGCAAGGATCCATACTCTTTGGTTTTTATTCGGTAAAGTCACGTAAAAAGCAACAAAAAAATAAAAATTCACGACGTTTCGGCCACAACACAAGTGGCCTTCATCAGGTGAAGGGAGCAGACTGTCTGGCAGGGTCTCTCTCTCTGTCCAGACAGTCTGCTCCCTTCACCTGATGAAGGCCACTTGTGTTGTGGCCGAAACGTCGTGAATTTTTATTTTTTATTTTTTTGTTGTTTAAAAAAAGTAATCCGTCTCTACCATTTTTTACATACCCCTGAATCGGGACCCTGAATAGCGACAGCCTCCAATCGAATCGCTGTCTTTAACCGATCGACGGACGAATGTGTTCCGTGAGCAACGGTGGTGAATGCGACCCCCTCGCCTGTCCCACCCCCCCCTGTGTCTCCGTGTTTCACGGTGGCTAGGAGATGTTAACTACCTCGCCTGGTACGCAGGAGGTCGTGGGTTCGATCACGTTCCTGACGGGGTCTCTCTCTCTCTCTCCCTGTGGTTGCGTGAAAATGTTTTTGTTTTTAATATCCGGGTCCTCCGTTTCCCCCCCCCCCCCCCACATTTATTTGGCCCGCTGTTAAATTTGCCCGCTTCATTGAGCTGTGTCATCTGTGATCGGCAGGTCGCTTCTGAAAATGAGCTACGTAGCTCAGTGGGGCTTTACACCTAAGTAAAATTTAAAATAATAGAGTTTAGTTTAGTAGGCTTTCGCGAGCAACATCATCCATAACACAGGTTTGTTTTTTGTTTGGGGTCAGATCGCGTAAATATATGAATGTGTCGTAAAACCCACCACCACCCAACACAGCCAACTAGTAAGGTTTGTCACGTAAACAGAACGTGGCCAATTCGTCATGATTACAGCACTAACCGGTTGTGTTGGAGAGCAAAGCCACAACATTTACAATCCGAGTACGACGTTTCGCCAGCTATTACAACCAGCTTCATCAGGCTAGTTTGACGATTACGAACGATTCGTAGCCTCGCGGTACACGTATCGTCCCCACGTGTAAACCACGGCTCGCACTGATCCCCGCACTGCCCGCATGAATTCCGCTCTCTACTGTTGTTCTTCGGCCCGATATCTCGAGCGGTGTTTCTCAAACTTTTTTTAACCTGCGCAGGGGGGGGGGGTGTGGGGGTGGAGTTTCTGGGCCAAACATTTCCGCGGACTCACCCAGCCCCCACCGTACAGACTTACTGACCTGCTGACTGACTTACGGACTGATGGACCGACCGACCGACTTACCGACGGACAGACCTGCTGCTTCCTGCTGCACCCCCGGGTGCCGTTCTGAACGCCGATCCGATCCGTCCAGGAGGGAGGGCACAAGCGGCGTGCACCTCGGGCAGTGCATGCCCAGAAATCTGTGCAGCGTGCCCGCATTCTTTATCTAACGCGTTGTTCCCTACTTTGTATTTTTATCTAACTTGCTGTTCCGAACGTCATCTTTTCTTCTAGCCCATTATTTACGAACTTCATCTTTTTTTCTAACTTGTTCCAAATTTTGTCTTTTTTTTTTAGCTCTTTCCGAACTTTGTCTTTTCTTCTCACTCGTTCCGAACTTAATCTTATTTTTTTAACTCGTTATGAACCTCGTCTTTTCTTCTAGCTCGTTGTTCCGAACGTCGTTTGTTTCACGTTGCAGGCGCCTCCCGCAGCTGTTCTCCAAGGACATAGCCCTGGTGCAGCAGTTCCTGGAGGCTCTGTGCAAGGTGAGGTTCAACCCCCTCTACACGCGCGTGCTGAGTATTGAGCGCTGGATCACGTGACCCACGGTCTGTGAATCAACGGTGCAGGGGGCAGTGCTGGATCACATGACCCACGGTCTGTGAATCGACGGTGCGGGGGGCAGTGCTGGATCATGTGACCCACGGTCTGTGAATCGGCGGTGTGGGGGGCACTGCCGATTCCACAAAATGATAGCTCAACGAAGTGGCTTATCGTCACGTGGAAATTTATAGCAGCCAAATTGCCCTGAACGCTTGACGTTGATTCTAAATGTGGAGGGGAAAAACCGGAGAGCCCGGAGAAAATCCACGCAGCTACGGGGAGAACATGCGAAACTCCAAACATACAGCCGGCGTCAGGGTAGGGATTGAACCCACGCACTCCTGCATACCAAGCGAGGGAGTTAACATCTCGCCACCGTGGCGCACCCCGTCATGAATGAGGTGGCGACCGCATCTGCCATGCCCCGTTCTCAATCTTCGCTTGTTTTTTTGGGCGTTTAGTTTGGTGCCCTTCCCCCGCACCTCCGATTAGCATGGTTGGCTACGTACGGTGCTTACGTACGTCGCAAAGGTTTTAACGTAACGTGCGAGGGGCATCTTTATCTTCCGACCACTGTGCACGCGTGTGACTGCACCACCCCTCCTCCTCGTTCCCCCCCCCCACCCAACCCCCCTTCCCCCGTCGTCCAGGAGGACCCCGAGGATCGGCTCTGCATCCAGGAGGCTCTGTCCATGATGGCGCCGGCTTACAGTGGCCTGCAGGGGGCAGACCTCAAGCTCATGGAGGCTCTGGTGGCCGGGTACATCGAGAAGGTCAGGAACACCCCCTCTGATCCCCACCCACCCCCCAATCACCTCCCCACAGTCTCTCCACGTTCACTGCACTGCTGCCTGCGTGTGTGCGCGTGCGTGTGTGCGTGTGTAGGTGGGGAGCGGTGGTGTAGCGGTTAGCGCGCTGCGCTATAAACCCGGCGACCCGGGTTCGATTCTCGCTCATGGCTAACACCGGTTGTGTCACCTCCACGTGTCCCCCCCGCCCCCCCCCCTCCCATCCACTCCACTCCTGTGTCCTTTCATGTGCCATGTCTTTGAGGCGTGTGTACGTGTTCCCCACGTCCCTGCAACTCCTCACGTCCCCGCGTCTCCTCCCATCTCCCCGTGTTTCTCCTGTCTCCCCGTCCCCACGTCTCCCCGTCTCCCCACGTCTCCCACGTCTCCCCGCGTCTTCCCGTGTCTCCCCCCCCCCCCCCCCCCCGTCCCCCGTTAGCCCGAGCTGCACGCTCGTCTCGTCGCGGTGAAGTTTGCGAGTGCCGTGTTCGCCCCGGACCACGTGGCCTCACGTTACCTCCTGCTGCTCGCAGCCGGAGACCCGTGAGTGGCTCTCGCCCTGAGGCTAGAACTCGCCCTGAGTCTAGCACTGACTCTACCACTAGGCCTGTCTCTACCACTAGGCCTGCCTCTACCACTAGGCCTGTCTCTACCACTAGCCCTGACTCTACCACTAGGCCTGACTCTACCACTAGGCCTGTCTCTACCACTAGGCCTGACTCTACCACTAGGCCTGAGTCTAGCACTAGGCCTGACTCTACCACTAGGCATGACTCTACCACTAGTCCTGACTCTACCGCTAGGCCTGAGTCTAGCACTAGGCCTGACTCTACCACTAGGCCTGACTCTACCACTAGGCCTGAGTCTAGCACTAGGCCTGACTCTACCACTAGGCCTGACTCTACCACTAGGCCTGACTCTACCAATAGGCCTGGCTCTACCACTAGGCCTGACTCTACCACTAGGCCTGTCTCTACCACTAGGCCTGTCTCTACCACTAGGCCTGTCTCTACCACTAGCCCTGACTCTACCACTAGGCCTGACTCTACCACTAGGCCTGACTCTACCACTAGGCCTGAGTCTAGCACTAGGCCTGACTCTACCACTAGGCATGACTCTACCACTAGTCCTGACTCTACCGCTAGGCCTGAGTCTAGCACTAGGCCTGACTCTACCACTAGGCCTGACTCTACCACTAGGCCTGACTCTACCACTAGGCCTGAGTCTAGCACTAGGCCTGACTCTACCACTAGGCCTGACTCTACCACTAGGCCTGAGTCTAGCACTAGGCCTGACTCTACCACTAGGCCTGACTCTACCACTAGGCCTGACTCTACCACTAGGCCTGGCTCTACCACTAGGCCTGACTCTACCACTAGGCCTGTCTCTACCACTAGGCCTGTCTCTACCACTAGGCCTGTCTCTACCACTAGGCCTGACTCTACCACTAGGCCTGACTCTACCACTAGGCCTGACTCTACCACTAGGCCTGTCTCTACCACTAGGCCTGACTCTACCACTAGGCCTGAGTCTAGCACTAGGCCTGTCTCTACCACTAGGCCTGACTCTACCACTAGGCCTGACTCTACCGCTAGGCCTGAGTCTAGCACTAGGCCTGACTCTACCACTAGGCCTGACTCTACCACTAGGCCTGACTCTACCACTAGGCCTGAGTCTAGCACTAGGCCTGACTCTACCACTAGGCCTGAGTCTAGCACTAGGCCTGAGTCTAGCACTAGGCCTGACTCTACCACTAGGCCTGACTCTACCACTAGGCCTGACTCTACCAATAGGCCTGGCTCTACCACTAGGCCTGACTCTACCACTAGGCCTGTCTCTACCACTAGGCCTGTCTCTACCACTAGGCCTGTCTCTACCACTAGGCCTGACTCTACCACTAGGCCTGACTCTACCACTAGGCCTGACTCTACCACTAGGCCTGACTCTACCACTAGGCCTGACTCTATCACTAGGCCTGTCTAAACCACTAGGCCTGTCTCTACCACTAGGCCTGACTCTACCACTAGGCCTGACCTAGGCCTGACTCTACCACTAGGCCTGACTCTACCACTAGGCCTGAACTAGGCCTGACTCTACCGCTAGCCCTGACTCTACCACTAGGCCTGAACTAGGCCTGACTCTACCACTAGGCCTGACTCTACCACTAGGCCTGACTCTACCACTAGGCCTGACTCTACCACTAGGCCTGGCTCTACCACTAGGCCTGACTCTACCACTAGGCCTGACTCTACCACTAGGCCTGTCTCTACCACTAGGCCTGTCTCTACCACTAGGCCTGACTCTACCACTAGGCCTGACTCTACCACTAGGCCTGACTCTATCACTAGGCCTGTCTCTACCACTAGGCCTGTCTCTACCACTAGGCCTGACTCTACCACTAGGCCTGAACTAGGCCTGACTCTACCACTAGGCCTGACTCTACCACTAGGCCTGAACTAGGCCTGACTCTACCGCTAGCCCTGACTCTACCACTAGGCCTGAACTAGGCCTGACTCTACCACTAGGCCTGACTCTACCACTAGGCCTGACTCTACCACTAGCCCTGTCTCTACCACTAGGCCTGACTCTACCACTAGGCCTGTCTCTACCACTAGGCCTGACTCTACCACTAGGCCTGTCTCTACCACTAGGCCTGACTCTACCACTAGGCCTGACTCTACCACTAGGCCTGACTCTACCACTAGCCCTGTCTCTACCACTAGGCCTGAACTAGGCCTGTCTCTACCACTAGGCCTGACTCTACCACTAGGCCTGACTCTACCACTAGGCGTGACTCTACCACTAGGTCTGTCTCTACCACTAGGCCTGTCTCTACCACTAGGCCTGTCTCTACCACTAGGCCTGACTCTACCACTAGGCCTGTCTCTACCACTAGGCCTGACTCTACCACTAGGCCTGACTCTACCACTAGGCCTGACTCTACCACTAGGCCTGACTCTACCACTAGGCCTGACTCTACCACTAGGCCTGTCTCTACCACTAGGCCTGACTCTACCACTAGGCCTGTCTCTACCACTAGGCCTGTCTCTACCACTAGGCCTGACTCTACCACTAGGCCTGTCTCTACCACTAGGCCTGTCTCTACCACTAGGCCTGACTCTACCACTAGGCCTGACTCTACCACTAGGCCTGTCTCTATCACTAGGCCTGACTCTACCACTAGGCCTGAACTAGGCCTGTCTCTACCACTAGGCCTGAGTCTACCACTAGGCCTGACTCTACCACTAGCCCTGACTCTACCACTAGCCCTGACTCTTTATCTTCGGCTTTCTGCTCCCCGCCACAGCAAGGAGGAGGTGAGCGCCGAGGCCCAGAGGGTGCTGCGGGATTCTCCGCCCGGCGACAAGAAGGACCGCGAGGGCCGCCCCACGCCGCTGCCGCCCTTCACGGAGATGGTGGCCTACATCCAGGAGAAGGTGGGGGGGGGGGGTGGGGGGTTGAGGGGGTGGGGGGGTCCCTCCACCACGGCCGGATCCCGGCGGTTCATAGTCGGCCGTGTCGAAGACGCCGGCACGTGGCGGCCACCCCTCCCACCCCCTCCCCCCCCCCGAGCTGTTGACTCGAGAGGCGAGGGAGGAGTGATGCAGGAAGGGAACGGGCGGGCGATAGGGAAAGGGGTACGCACGCATGCGTACCGGCGTCTTTGACAAAAACAACGGCGCTGCCGCTGCTCCTCTCCGAATAGAAGTAACGCCGAACCGCTTGCGCGCGTTACTGAGATTCGGCAGTGAGCGGGGACACCCACCACCCTGCGACTTGCAGACGCGTCTTGGAACGAACGGCAAAGAGGTTACGCGGCCTGGACACTTTGAGTTTTGCTCGCGCTCACATTGGGGATATATTCGATCATTTAAATAATCGACGACTGCACCGATAATTATCGGTTCCATCGTCGGGTTATCGGCGAGGAGGAAAATCTAAAAATGTTTAGAGGGGGTGGTGGGGAAGGAAGTTGTTGATCACTGCGCTACGAACCCGGTGGCCCGAGTTCGATTCCCTCTCGAACAGCCAACACCATCGGCGGTCTTCTGAGCCGGTCACGGGCCTCCCCTTGTTCGACTCGGCCTCAAACGAGCCCCTGGTGCGATGTGTTAAACGTCGCCACCGGGGAGATCTCGCAACGGCGGCAGGGCGCGGTGTCGGCCTCCCCCCACCCGCACCCCCTCGTGCGCTCTGCCGGCCTTCGTGGGCCCTGCCGCTCGCCAACGCTATAACGGTCGGGCGGGGTGGGACGGCGGGTCGGTGAGGGATCTTTGTCTCGGTGTCGCGTGCAGGCAAGCGTGCGCATTAAGTCTCCGGCCAAGTACTCGGTGGGGATCACGACCCTGGCATTCAACCCGGCGTCCTACGGAGAGGTGAGCGAACGACGGTTGTGCGTGGTAGCTATTCGAAAAAGTATTTTTTTTTGTTTCCCCCAGGCGTGCGATTATTCGGCATCCAATGTTATCCGCCGAAACCGGCGCGCTCCAAAGGCTGTGTAACCAAGTCCGGTGATCGTCAAACGCACGGTTGCTGATACGGAATCAGATTCAGAATATTTATTCATACTGGAGGAATCCGGTGAGCTATAAAGCGATTTTTTTCACAGGCGTCCAGACGTAGGGGCGTGGTAAGAACGTCACAACGACGAACAATACAAAACACGATAGTAGTGCAAAGTTACAAGAAAGGTAAACTATTCACCCAAATTGTACAGACATCACAGTTGGATTCAGACAATGAATAGCCACCTCCAATTCTACACTCCGCCTATCATAATTCCATGCAGAGTCTTCGAGAGTGGAGTGGTTAAGTACGGTACCGTAAATTCGCTAACTTTGTTTTTACAGTAGGATATTTATTTTTGCCTTTTTGTATGTTTGTTTTTGCTAATTTCACACGGCAAACATTTAAAATCTTGACTTAATGCTTTCGTGACTGCAGGAATTCATGTTCTTTGGGTCTTTCGGTAAGTCACGTAGATAGAAAAAATAATTATCAAAAATAATAAAAAAAGTGATTCTAAATTATTGAACATATCACGGCGTTTCGATCGCAACACAAGCGGTCGTCATCACCGCTTTTTAAGCACTTTTATTTGTATTTTAATTTTTTCGATCCTCGTGACTTTACCGAAAGAACCGTGGAATCTCACACGCGGCGTTGAGAGCGGTGTTCAGTGCGAGGGGCGCCACACATTTGAAACCGGTTGGGGTTTGACAGCGTGATGGGGGGTGTTTTCACATTTTTGCGTGTTGTTAGAGGCCGCACATCAGGGGCCGCCCTAAAAGGCCGCGCAGGGACCAGCCAGTCACCCGCGGGCTCTTGGAGAGTTATACTCTTTGGTTCTATTGGGTAAAGTCACGTAGGTGAAAATAAAATAACAAAAAAATCACGACGTTTCGGCCACAACACAAGCGGACTTCATCAGGTGAAGGGACGAGACTGTCTGGAGGACAGCGCTTATTTTCACCTACGTGACTTTACCCAATAGAACCAAAGAGTATGGATCCTAGCAGTCACGAAAGCTTTAAATCTAGAATCTTGGAGAGTTCTTTGTTTTTTATCCTAAAAATTCCCACGCGAGAGAAGCCCACTTCGTTGAGATATTCTCATTTGGGATAGCCAGGTCGCTTCTGAGAGAGAGCTTCATAGGGCTCAGTGGGTCCTTACCTGCTCAAATAAAACATGTCCATAACAGAAGTTGTGTTTGGTTGGGTTAGATCGCATAAATATCTAAATGTGTCGTTGAACGCACCACCGCCGGGTACAGCCAATTTTGTAAGGTTTGTCACTTGAACACAACGTGGCCGATCCGTTACGAGTTCAGCACACACGCACGCAAACCGATGGATGGTGTGTTGGAGAGAGAACCCACGCTCATTTACAATTCGAGTAGCCGTGACGTTTCACCGGTATAATCGCAGCCGGACTCAACGGGCGGACAGACAGGAGAGTTGTGGAGAAATCCTTCTCTTGTTTCGGTCTTAAATAGACGGGGTGGGGCGGGGGGGGGGGGCGGGGCAGGGGATACATGCGGCGATGTTGTTTCAATGTCCTGATAGTGGCGTTGTCTTTGTGCTGTTCGCCTTTTTGGCGTCCTCTGGTCTAAAACTGTTTGAGATTGGGCGCGAATGAAAGCTGTCCCTGGTGTGGACCAATCACTTTCAAAGACAGTGCATCATCACATACTACCAGAGCGTGTTTTTTTGTTTGCATGTTCACCACAAGTACATGAGGGTTAATGCGGACTTGATTCTTCGCAAATGGTTTTCTACGTGTGTGTTTTAACATCTTGACACAACTGTTTCATTGCCAGAAAGGGTCATACCTATTCTTATATGTGATGTCGTCACTTGTGAACCAATCAGGGGCGGGGGCGGGGAGGCGGTGGAGGGGTGGTCGAATGTATTCGTATACATTACAACACATGGTTGTGTTATTCACAATAATAATTTTTTTTGTCTTGCTTTCAAAAAGTGGCCCTTTTCTCACGTCTCGAGCTCTTTTGCCTCCTGTGCGTCCGCCGCCGCTGCAGATGGTGCTCTACCTCCGCGCTTGCCTCGCGGGCAGCGCCGGCATCGCGAGCCCCCTCGCCACCGAGAGCCTCGCGCAGATGCAGACGCAGGCGCCCGCCATCGGGCGCTACGTCTCGACGCTGCGCTCGGTCGCGGCGGCCCCAGCCCCCCCCGTCGATGGCGGCGGCGGCGGCGGCGGCGGCGGCGGCGGCAGCGGCGGCCCGCTCCACTCGTACGTGGGGCTCATCCGCCCGCTGCTGTCCGCAGTCGCCGGTGCGTTGATGCCGTGCGTCGTTTTTTTGTGCGTCCCGTGTTCGCTGGTTCCCCGTGCTTGCCTGTCCCCGTGTTTGCGTGCTTCTGCGAGTCATCTCAGTCACTCGGCCACCTCCGCCGCCCTCCCCTCCCCCCCCATAGCGCCTGGTGTAACACCCAAAGCGTTTGCCACACGCGAACCACAGCACCTCTCGCCGCCGCCGACCTCGTCACGGAGCGTAAACCGTCATCACGCGAGCTCCGGTCATCCTCGCAGTGACCGCTTTTTGGCTGAGCCATTGAGCAAACACGGTGGTCACCTGAATCGCGCGGCGCTTTCAGATGCGCTCCGGCGGCCGTCTGGAACGCTCTTTTCCTCCGATATTAAGAAGTCGCCGAAGCTGCGCGCTTTCAAATAATCTAGATTAGGGCGCACGCATTTCGTTGGAACCGCTTTTCGTGTTCAGTTCGTTGTCCTTCCCCCCGGCACCTCCAAATTAGTACGGTTGGCTACGTACGGTGCGAAAAAAGTTCAACGTTACACGACGTCCACACGTACGTGGCATCGCTCCTGCACCGCGTACGAGGCTTCCACGCTGCACGCGATGGCCTCAGGGTGCACCTGGCACAGGAGCCGTGGTGATGTCACCGCCACTTTGTGTTGGTATCGTTGTTGTTTGTGTGAGATCACGTCGTCAGTATGTCTGTGTGTGTGTATTTGTGTCTTGCGGGGGGGGAGCGGCAGCGTAGAGGTCAGCTCGCTGCTCGACGAAAACGGCGACCCGAGTTCGATTCACAATCACGGCCAACGCCGGTGACGATTATCTGAACCGGTCCTGGGCCCTCCCCTAATTCGACTCGGCCTCAAATGAGTACCCGGTGCGGTGTGTAGTAAAACATCGCCACCGGGGGAGACAAAGGCGGCCGGGCGTGGTGCACCCCTCCCCCCTTCGTGTGCCGTGCCGGCCTTAATAGGTGTTGCTCACGAACAGCACTTGCTCCAAGACCCTGCTCAGGCTATACGGGGGGTGGGGCGGGTCTTTGTCTTTGTGTGCAGGGACTCCCATCATGTACTGCCTGCTGGAGGTCGTGGCTATCGCCCCGGACCACCTGGCCGAGCAGTTCGCCGACAAAATGGACTGGATCAAGGTGGGGAGGCCTCGTCCCCCCCTCCCGTGCCCCCCCCCCCCCCTTTGCACCCTTCCGACTCCTCAACGTTTCTCCGCACACCCACCCACGGTGTCCCAATGCGCCCCCTGCTACCACCCCCCCCCCCCCCCCCCCCCGTATGCCAGTAAGACGCTCCCCCGAAATCGCTCGTGCGGAACCACCCTTGGCTTACGGCTCGTCGTGGGTCAAGGGTCAAGGGTCACGGGTCGGTTTTAGACGCACAACAGAAGACTCCTTTGGATTGTATTTTTTTATTTTAGCAGGTTAGGCCCGCTGAGTTATGTAGCTTTTTTTTTCAGAAGCTTGACCATCACAAATGATGGCTCAGTGAAGTGGCTTTTCTATCGCGTGGAAATTTATAGCAGCAGCCAAATGATCTAAACGCATCGAGATGCACGGAGACCCATGGAGACCCATAGAGACACACAGAGACCTATAGACTAAATTAAACTATTTCTGGATCCCCTCTAACCCCTCTATCCCCGCGTGCCCACATCTCCCCGCCCCCCTCCCCACACGCTCATCTCCCTCCCCCTCCCTCCCACCCCTCCCTCGCTCCCTCCCCTCCCACCCCTCCCTCCCCTCCTTACCTCTAACCTCTCTCCCTCTCTCGCTCCCTCTCCTCCCTCCCTCCCCCCCTCTCTCCCTTCCCTCCCACCCCTCCCTCCCCTCCCTCTCTCCCCCCTCCCTCTCTCGCTCCCTCTCCTCCCTCCCTCCCCTCCCTCCCCTCCCTCCCTCTCTCGCTCCCTCTCCCCCCTCCCTCCCTCCCTCCCTCCCTCCCCCCCTCGCTCCCTCGCCTCCCTCCCCCCACCCCCAGGGCCTCATGAGCTCCAACCGGGAGGAGACTCGTGAGCTGGCCTCCCAGCTGCTGGCAGTGGTGACGGCACACGCTCCCGCCTGCCATCTCCCGGACGCCGTGGCGGCGCTGCTTAAGTCCACCGGCGACCAGGTGAGGCGCACGCCGGGGGCTTTAACCCCTGGGCGATCGATCGATCGATGCGTGTAACCCCTTTGCCCTAACGCGGCAAAGGAAATCTCGGCGAGACTGTTGTTGTGTGTGTACGGCGGTGCGAAAGAAGTTCAACGGACAGGGACTCCTCTACTTACGAACGTTCGACTCGCGAACGTTCAGAGATGCGAACAAACCCGGTCCGTATGTCCAGTTGCCCGTTCGGACCGAGGGTCGTGAGTTCAACCGCCACGCAATAGATGGCGGTGATGGCATCTTCACCTCAATGTGAAGATCCAGTGGCATCTACAGAACGTGAAGAACCAGTGGCATCTACATCTGAAGAACGTGAAGAACCAGTGACATCTACATCTGCAGAACGTGAAGAACCAGTGGCATCTACATTTACAGAACGTGAAGAACCAGTGACATCTACATCTACAGAACGTGAAGAACCAGTGGCATCTAGAACGTGAAGAACCAGTGGCATCTACATCTGCAGAACGTGAAGAACCAGTGGCATCTACATCTGCAGAACGTGAAGAACCAGTTGCATCTACATCTGCAGAACGTGAAGAACCAGTGACATCTACATTTGCAGAATATGAAGAACCAGTGGCATCCACGTCTGCAGAACGTGAAGAACCGGTGGCATCTACGTCTGCAGAACGTGAAGAACCGGTGGCATCTACATCTGCAGAACGTAAAGAACCAGTGGCATCTACATCTGCAGAACGTGAAGAACCAGTGGCATCTACATCTACAGGAGGTTACACAGCTTTTAAAGCCATTCCCCGTGTTTAGTGTACATGCTGTACAACACGTGTGGAATTTACATGAGTAAAGTTGTCACTTACGAACAAATCGACTTTACGAACAGGCCTCTGGAATGAAGCTTTCGTGACTGCAGGAATCCATACTCCTCGCTGGTCCAGCAGGTTCCACTGCTGGATTTATTTTTTCCCGCCTGAGGACAACCGCTTGTGCTGCGATCGAAACGTCGTGATATTTTATTTTTTGTTTTATTTTTCTACCTACGTGACTTTACCGAAAGAACTAAAGATTTAGGCCTCTGGAACCTCACTCGTTCGTAAGTAGAGGAGTCTCTGTACACACACACGTGTGCAGTAGCTGATCCGATTGTCCGCTGCACGATTATCCGCCTTCCAACGTTATCCGGCCAGCCCCGGGCCGATCCGGCGGCGAACCTCCGTCAGAGCTGACGGAGTTGGATTCCGACTCGCTGACAACACCGAGTGGCGGTGACGTCACCACGGCGCCTGTGCCGGGTTAGGTGCACTTTGAGGCCGTCACGTGCGGTGTGGAAGGCCCCGTCGCTGGCAGGGGGATGCCACGTACGTGCGTACGTATGCGCGTTCAAACTTCTTTCGCACCGTACGTAGCCGACCTGCGCTAATCGGAGGTGCGGCACGAAGGAAAACGAACTAAACGCAAACAGCAGTTCTAAGGAAATTCGTTTTTTTAATATTTAAAAGTGCGTAGCTCCAGTAACTTCCTAATATCGGAAGGAAGAGCGTTCTAGACGGCCGCAGGGGCGCACATCTGAAAGCGCGCGATGCCGTGGCTAATAAACCATCTCCCAATTCTACACCGACCCCATCATCACCCAATGCAGAATCTTCGAGATTGGAGTGGTAAGTACGGTACAGTAAATACGGTAACTTTTTACCGCCACCGTGCCGGCCTTCGTAGGTGCTCGGCTAACAGCACTTGCCCCCAACAGTCTGTTACAGGCTACACGGGGGGGGGGGGGGGGTGGAATCTTTGTCTTTGTGTGTCTATGCACGAGTGTGTTTGTGTGTGTCTTTGTGCGTTCGAGATGCTGGCCACCCACCCCCTCGTGCACCACCGAGCCGGCCTTCGTAGCTGCTCCGCTAACAGCACTTGCCCCCAGCAGTCTGTTACAGGCTACACGGGGGGGGGGGGGGGGGGGGCGCTCGTGCTGATGCTCGTTGCCGTTGCCCGTCACAGTCCCCCGAGGTGCAGCACGGCGCCGTGTTGGCGCTGGGCTACCTGGTGTCGCGCTGCCTCTCCGGGCGGCAGTGCCGGGACAAGGGGCGCCTGCCGGACGACCTCGTGCGCACGGCCATCACCGCGATAGGTGGGGCTCCTCGGCGGCGACCTTCCCCGTGGCAACGTCGTCCGGCTCGATTGGCCTCCTTTGTTGACGCGTTTTTTTTTTGGGGGGGGGGGGGGAGAGGTGTAGCGGCGGCGCCGTCGTTTTGATTGAAGACGCCGTCACTCGCCGCGGAGAACCACCGTGGCGACACGACCGCCGCCGCTCTCCTACGGTAGCCGGCGGCCAAACCCGTTGCCGCACGTGGCCCTCACCGCGTCGGCTTGCGGGGTTAGCCGCGGTTTACCGATAAAGTTATTTTACACTATGAGACCTCCTTTGCCAGTAGCAAGATATAGTAATAGGTTTTTACCCTTTTATCTGGCACCAAAACTGATAAAAGGGTAAAACCTATTCCTATATCTTGTTACTGGCAAAGGAGGTCTCATAATGTAAATGCTCACCCCGAGCTCTCAATACTCTGATAGTGCGCTGTTTTTGAGTTGTACGCCTTTTGGCGTCTTCTGGTCCAACACCAGTGGAGACTAGGCTCTAAGAAAAGCCGTCTCGGGTGTGGACCAATCAAATTCAAGGACAGTGCATATCATTATCAGAGTTGTCTCTTTTTGTTTGAATTTTGACTGCTTGTGTTGTGGTTATTGCAAATGTGATCCCTTGTATAAAGGTGTCGGTTTTTGTGCCAGCTAAAAGGGTAAAAACCTATTACTAACGTTATTTTATTTTAGTTTTTCCTTCCGGTTTCGTTTCATCGCATTTATCCCCCCCCCCCCCCCTACCGCCGCCGCCGTCGCCCATCTGTTGAAGACCGAAACAGGAGGAGGTTATCTCCGCAACTCTGGCTGTCGCCTGATGATGCTGCTTGTTGTTGTTGTTATTGTTGTTGTAATTACACACCGGTGAAACGTCACCGCTACTCGAATTGTAAATGTTGTTGTGGGTTCACTGTCCAACACGCAACCGGCGTGTGTGCTGAGCTAGTCACGAATCGGCCACGTTTGGTTTACGTGACAAACCCCACTGCTGATTGGCCGCGCCGGGTGAAATCAGTACCCTGGCGAGGTGCCCGCAGCAACGACACCCGCCCGCCCACCCACCCTGTCCTTCTGGTGCCGCCCTCCTGTGCGGTGGTGGGGGTGGGAGGGGAGCGTCATCTTTGTCTTTGCTCCACGCACGCACAAGGCGCGTTTGTGGGAAACACCTCCCCGGTGCTCAGCATGGCCGGCTGCGTCGCGCTGGGAGAGATCGCCCGGAGCGGAGCGCTTCCCCTTCCGGACTCCGGATCGGGACTCTCGAAGCTGTCCCTGGTGGAGACGCTGCTGGCCAAAATCCGTTCCGGCAAAGAAGCGAGCAAGGTGAGCCCCGGGCCGTTCCGCGGTTTGATTTCGACTTTTTGAGCCGTCGCCAATCCCACCGTGGGGTTCCGGTGGAGGGTGGAGGGGGGGGGAGCAAGCGATCGATCGATCGATCGATCGTTATTTTAATTCACGTGGCGATATCGCCCTCGGTAATAAAACGGGAGGGATCGGTTGCGCGTTATAGCAGAACAGCAGAACGGGGGGGGGGGGGGGGCAGGGGGGGGCGGTGGTAACGTGCAACTGCGCACGACGAGTAGCATAGGAAATAATTTGACCTCCTTTGCCAGTACCAAAATACAGTAAAACCTTGGATTGCGAGTAACTTGGTCTGCAAGTGTTTTGCAAGACGAGCAAACATTTTAAAGTAAATATTAATTTGATAAACGAGCGAGGGTCTTAGCAATACGAGTAGTAGTGCGTGTCTACGCTTTGCACTGTCGAGCGTCACGTGATCACAACTGATATACGAGTGCTTTGATATACGAGTGCTTTGGATTACAAAACACGTTTCCGGAACGAATTATGCTCCTCGCAATGCAAGGTTTTACTGTATGAGATTTGGGTTTTTTGATTCCTTGCAAAAAGGTTTCAGTTTTGTTGCCAGAAAAAAGGGGGGAAAAAAGACCCGATTCTTATAGCATAGGAAAGGTAAGTCGTGAATAACGCAAATGATAAGAAACATTTATTTGTACGCAACGTGTGTGTTTTTTCAAGCTGTGCTTACGTATGTCGGCACGGTCGTCGGCGTACGTCACGTGCGCGCGCGTACGTGCTGAAGTTGTTTCGCACCGAACCCAACTCCGTGGTCTGTGCGCATCTATGAAAATAGGTTTTTCCCCTCTTATCTGGCAACAAAACACGACGCATCTACTCAGCACTCGCCTTCCCTTGAAATATAAAATGCTCCCGCAGCTCCGATTAGCGCGGTTTGTTACGTGCGGTGCGAAAGAAGTTCAGCATATACATACGTACGTAGACTCGCACAGAGACCCACAGACTACTCACACAGAGACCCACAGACTACTCACACAGAGACCCATAGACTACTCACACAGAGACCCACAGACTACTCACACAGAGACCCATAGACTGCTCACACAGAGACCCATAGACTACTCACACAGAGACCCACAGACTACTCAGACAGAGACCCACAGACTACTCACACAGAGACCCATCGACTACTCACACAGAGACCCATAGACTACTCACACAGAGACCCATAGACTACTCACACAGAGACCCACAGACTACACACACAGAGACCCATAGACTACTCACACAGAGACCCATAGACTGCTCACACAGAAACCCATAGACTACTCACACAGAGACCCATAGACTACTCACACAGAGACCCATAGACTACTCACACAGAGACCCATAGACTACTCACACAGAGACCCATAGACTACTCACACAGAGACCCGTAGACTACTCGCACAGAGACCCATAGACTACTCACACAGAGACCCATCGACTACTCACACAGAGACCCATCGACTACTCACACAGAGACCCATAGACTACTCACACAGAGACCCACAGACTACACACACAGAGACCCATAGACTACTCACACAGAGACCCATAGACTACTCACACAGAGACCCATAGACTACTCACACAGAGACCCATAGACTACTCACACAGAGACCCATAGACTGCTCACACTGAGACCCACAGACTACTCACACAGAGACCCATAGACTACTCACACAGAGACCCATAGACTACTCACACAGAGACCCACAGACTACTCACGCAGAGACCCACAGACTACTCACGCAGAGACCCATAGACTACTCACACAGAGACCCATAGACTACTTACACAGAGACCCATAGACTACTCACACAGAGACCCATAGACTACTCACACATAGACCCATAGACTACTCACACAAAGACCCATAGACTACTCACACAGAGACCCACAGACTACTCACACAGAGACCCACAGACTACTCACACAGAGACCCATAGACTACTCACACAGAGACCCATAGACTACTCACACAGAGACCCACAGACTACTCACACAGAGACCCATAGACTACTCACACAGAGACCCATAGACTGCTCACACAGAGACCCATAGACTGCTCACACAGAGACCCATAGACTACTCACACAGAGACCCATAGACTACTCACACAGAGACCCATAGACTACTCACACAGAGACCCATAGACTACTCACACAGAGACCCATAGACTACTCACACAGACACCCATAGACTACTCACACAGAGACACATAGACTACTCACACAGAGACCCATAGACTACTCACACAGAGACCCATAGACTACTCACACAGAGACCCATAGACTACTCACACAGAGACCCATAGACTACTCACACAGAGACCCACAGACTACTCACACAGAGACCCATAGACTACTCACACAGAGACCCATAGACTACTCACACAGAGACCCATAGACTACTCACACAGAGACCCACAGACTACTCACACAGAGACCCATAGACTACTCACACAGAGACCCATAGACTACTCACACAGAGGCCCATAGACTACTCACACAGAGACCCATAGACTACTCACACAGAGACCCACAGACTACTCACACAGAGACCCACAGACTACTCACACAGAGACCCATAGACTACTCACACAGAGACCCGTAGACTACTCACACAGAGACCCGTAGACTACTCACACAGAGACCCATAGACTGCTCACACAGAGACACATAGACTACTCACACAGAGACCCATAGACTACTCACACAGAGACCCATAGACTATTCACATAGAGACCCATAGACTACTCACACAGAGACCCATAGACTACTCACACAGAGACCCATAGACTATTCACATAGAGACCCATAGACTACTCACACAGAGACACATAGACTACTCACACAGAGACCCATAGACTGCTCACACAGAGACCCATAGACTGCTCACACAGAGACCCATAGACTGCTCACACAGAGACCCATAGACTACTCACACAGAGACCCATAGACTGCTCACACAGAGACCCATAGACTACTCACACAGAGACCAATAGACTACTCACACAGAGACCCATAGACTAGTCACACAGAGACCCATAGACTACTCACACAGAGACCCATAGACTACTCACACAGAGACCCGTAGACTACTCACACAGAGACCCATAGACTACTCACACAGAGACACATAGACTACTCACACAGAGACCCATAGACTACTCACACCGAGACCCGTCGTCGTCATCGTTGTACTCAGATGAAGGAGAAGGCTGTGATGGCGCTGGGAAACTTCTCCGTGGGGGACGCGGCCTTCCCCCACCAGAAGCTCGTGATGGAGGGCCTCATGGACTCGGTGGAGGTGAGCACGGCCCCTCGGCCAACACGACAGGAGAGGTGGTGGTGGTAGTGATGGAGGTGGAGGTAATAGTGGTAGAGGTGGTAGTGATGTAGGTGGTAGTGGTGGAGGGTGGTAGTGATGGAGGTGGTGGTGGAGGTGGTAGTGATGGAGGTGGAGGTGGTAGTGATGGAGGTGGTGGTGGTGGTAGTGATGGAGGTGGTAGTGATGGAGGTGGTATTGATGGAGGTGGAGGTGGTAGTGATGGAGGTGGTAGTGATGGAGGTGGTAGTGATGGAGGAGGTAGCGATGGAGGTGGTGGTGGAGGTGGAGGTGGTAGTGATGGAGGTGGAGGTGGTAGTGGTGGAGGTGGTAGTGATGGAGGTGGTGGTGGAGGTGGTAGTGATGTGGAGGTGGTAGTGGTGGAGGTGGTGGAGGTGGTAGTGATGGAGGTGGTAGTGATGGAGGTGGAGGTGGTAGTGATGGAGGTGGTAGTGATGGAGGTGGTAGTGATGGAGGTGGAGGTGGTAGTGATGGAGGTGGAGATAGTAGTGGTGGAGGTGGTAGTGATGGAGGTGGTAGTGGTAGAGGTGGTGGTGGTAGTGATGGAGGTGGTAGTGATGGAGGTGCTAATGATGGATGTGGTAGTGATGTAGGTGGTAGTGGTGGTAGTGATGGAGGTGGTAGTGATGGAGGTGGAGGTGGTGGTGGTGGAGGTGGTAGTGATGGAGGTGGTAGTGATGGAGGTGGTAGTGATGGAGGTGGTAGTGATGGAGGTGGAGGTGGTAGTGATGGAGATAGTAGTGGTGGAGGTGGTAGTGATGGAGGTAGAGGTGGTGGAGGTGGTGGTGGTAGTGATGGAGGTGGTAGTGATGGAGGTGGTAGTGATGGAGGTGGAGGTTGTAGTGATGGAGGTGGTTGTGATGGAGGTGGAGGTGGTAGTGATGGAGGTGGTAGTGGTGGAGGTGGTAGTGATGGAGGTGGTAGTGGTGGAGGTGGTAGTGGTGGAGGTGGTAGTGATGGAGGTTGCGGTGGTAGTGATGGAGGTGGTAGTGATGGAGGTGGAGGTGGTAGTAATAGAGGTGGTAGTGATAGAGGTGGTAGTGATGGAGGTGGTAGTGATGGAGGTGGTAGTGATGGAGGTGGTAGTGATGGAGGTGGTAGTGATGGAGGTGGTAGTGATGGAGGTGGAGGTGGTAGTGATGGAGGTGGAGGTGGTAGTGATGGAGGTGGTAGTGATGGAGGTGGTAGTGGTGGAGGTGGTAGTGATGGAAGTGGAGGTGGTAGTGATGGAGGTGGTAGTGATGGAGGTGGTAGTGATGGAGGTGGAGGTGGTAGTGGTGGAGGTGGTCGTGATGAAGGCGCGTGAGTGACGTGTCCCCGCTTGTCCCCGCGTGTCCCAGGCTCGCCAGGTGGAGCTGCAGCTGTGGGTTGCCGAGTCCCTGGTGAGTGCGGCACGCGGAGTCGACTCTGCCAGCCGCCATGACGTGTGGACAGAGGGAGACGCCGCCTCTCACGGCGGTGGGCACTGCGCCTCCACCATCACCTACACCATCACGTACATCATCACCTACATCATCACCTACACCATCACCTACACCATCACCTACACCATCACCTACACCATCACCTACACCAGCACCTACATCATCACCTACACCATCACCTACACCATCACCTACATCATCCCCTACACCATCACCTACACCATCACCTACACCATCACCTACACCAGCACCTACACCATCACCTACACCATCACCTACATCATCACCTACATCATCACCTCCACCATCACCTACACCATCACCTACATCATCACCTACATCATCACCTACACCATCACCTACGTCATCACCTACATCATCACCTACAACATCACCTACATCATCACCTACATCATTACCTCCACCATCACGTACATCATCACCTACAACATCACCTACACCATCACCTACATCATCACCTACTCCAGCACCTACATCATCACCTACATCATCACCTCCACCATCACGTACATCATCACCTACACCATCACGTACATCATCACCTACATCATCACCTCCACCATCACCTACACCATCACCTACACCATCACCTACATCATCACCTACTCCAGCACCTACATCATCACCTACATCATCACCTCCACCATCACGTACATCATCACCTACAACATCACCTACATCATCACCTACATCATCACCTACAACATCACCTACATCATCACCTACATCATCACCTACATCATCACCTACACCATCACCTCCAACATCACCTACACCATCACCTACACCATCACCTCCGTCATCACCTACACCATCACCTACACCATCACCTACACCATCACCTACATCATCACCTCCAACATCACCTACAACATCACCTACATCATCAGCTACACCATCACCTACATCATCACCTACATCATCACCTCCACCATCACCTACACCATCACCTACACCATCACCTACATCATCACCTACTCCAGCACCTACATCATCACCTACTCCATCACCTACACCATCACCTACATCATCACCTACTCCAGCACCTACATCATCACCTACTCCAGCACCTACATCATCACCTACATCATCACCTACTCCAGCACCTACATCATCACCTACATCATCACCTCCACCATCACGTACATCATCACCTACACCATCACGTACATCATCACCTACATCATCACCTCCACCATCACCTACACCATCACCTACACCATCACCTACATCATCACCTACTCCAGCACCTACATCATCACCTACATCATCACCTCCACCATCACGTACATCATCACCTACAACATCACCTACATCATCACCTACATCATCACCTACAACATCACCTACATCATCACCTACATCATCACCTACATCATCACCTACACCATCACCTCCAACATCACCTACACCATCACCTACACCATCACCTCCGTCATCACCTACACCATCACCTACACCATCACCTACACCATCACCTACATCATCACCTCCAACATCACCTACAACATCACCTACATCATCAGCTACACCATCACCTACATCATCACCTACATCATCACCTCCAACATCACCTACAACATCACCTACATCATCACCTACATCATCACCTACAACATCACCTACATCATCACCTACACCATTACCTACATCATCACCTACTCCAGCACCTACACCATCACCTACACCATCACCTACATCATCACCTACACCATCACCTACACCATCACCTACACCATCACCTACACCAGCACCTACATCATCACCTACACCATCACCTACACCATCACCTACATCATCCCCTACACCATCACCTACACCATCACCTACACCATCACCTACACCATCACCTACACCATCACCGACACCATCACCTACATCATCACCTACACCATCACCTACATCATCACCTACATCATCACCTACACCATCACCTACACCATCACCTACACCATCACCTACATCATCACCTACATCATCACCTCCAACATCACCTACAACATCACCTACATCATCAGCTACACCATCACCTACATCATCACCTACACCATCACCTACACCATCACCTCCGTCATCACCTACACCATCACCTCCATCATCACCTCCAACATCACCTACATCATCACCTACATCATCACCTACATCATCACCTACAACATCACCTACGTCATCACCTACACCATCACCTACACCATCACCTACATCATCACCTACTCCAGCACCTACACCATCACCTCCATCATCACCTACATCATCACCTACACCATCACCTACATCATCACCTACATCATCACCTGCATTATCACCTACACCATCACCTACATCATCACCTACATCATCACCTACACCATCACCTACATCATCACCTTCATCAGCACCTACATCATCACCTACATCACCTACATCATCACCTACACCATCACCTACATCATCACCTACATCATCACCTACATCATGACCTACGTCATCACCTACACCATCACCTACATCATCACCTACATCATCACCTACATCATCACCTACATCATCACCTACACCATCACCTACACCATCACCTACACCATCACCTACACCAGCACCTACATCATCACCTACACCAGCACCTACACCATCACCTACATCATCACCTACATCATCACCTACATCATCACCTACATCACCTACATCATCACCTTACATCATCACCTACACCATCACCTACATCATCACCTACACCAGCACCTACATCATCACCTACATCATCACCTACACCAGCACCTACACCATCACCTACACCATCACCTACACCATCACCTACACCAGCACCTACATCATCACCTACATCACCTGCAACATCACCTACGTCATCACCTACATCATCACCTACAACATCACCTACATCATCACCTACATCATCACCTACATCATCACCTACATCATCACCTACACCATCACCTCCATCATCACCTACAACATCACCTACAACATCACCTAGATCATCACCTGCATCATCACCTCCAACATCACCTACACCATCACCTACATCATCACCTACATCATCACCTACACCATCGCCTACATCATCACCTACATCATCACCTGCATCATCACCTACAACATCACCTACATCATCACCTACAACATCACCTACACCATCACCTACATCATCACCTACATCACCTACAACATCACCTACAACATCACCTACATCATCACCTACAACATCACCTACATCATCACCTACAACATCACCTACATCATCACCTACATCATCACCTACATCATCACCTACATCATCACCTACATCATCACCTACAACATCACCTACATCATCACCTACAACATCACCTACAACATCACCCACAAAACCACTAGCATCATCAACATCCCCTAGCTCCACTCGGCCTCAAGCGAGCACCTGCTAGGGTGTGCATGAACATCCCCACTGGGGGAGACAAAGGCGGCCGGGCGTGGTGGTGTTTCCCGGCCACACCCACCCCCTCGTGTGCCACAGTGCCGCACGCTGACAGCACTTGCCCCCCCCCCCCAACAGTCTGTTGAGGCTTTACGGGGGGGGATCTTTTTGCCTTCGGGGAGCGGAAGTGCGGCGGTCGGCGCTCCGTGCTACGAAGCCGGCGACGCGAGTTCGATTCCCGCTCCTGGCCCGTAGCAGTGACGGCAAGTGTCTGAACTGGTCCCGGACCTCCCCCAGGTCGACTCGGCCTCAAACGAGAGCACCTGGTGCGGTGTGCGTGAAACATCGCCACTGGGGAGACAAATGCGACCGGGCCCGTGGTGTTGGCCACCCGGCCCCACCGTGTGCCACGGTGCCGGCCTTCGTAGGTGCTGCTACTCGCTGACGGCACTTGCCCCCAAGGGCTGCACGGGAGGCGGGGGGCGGATCTTTTGTCTCTTGCGTGCGCTCGTGCTCACGCTCGCGCTCTTGCTCGTCGTCAGTCGGAGGCGGGAACGACGAGGTGGCGTGGCTGCTGAACGCGGTGCTCACGCGCTACGTGCCCAGCCCCAACCCACACGTGCGGCACGCCGCCTCCGTGTGGCTCCTCTCCATCGTGCAGCGGCTCGGATATCACTCCGCCGTCAAGGTTCGAGCGCTACCCCCTCCCTCCCTCCCTCTCACTCCCTCCCTCCCCTCCCTCTCACTCCCTCCCTCCCCTCCTTCCCTCCCTCCCTCCCTCCCTCCCTCCCTCCCCTCCCTCCCTCCCTCCCTCCCCTCCCTCCCTCCCTCCCTCCCTCCCCTCCCTCTCCCTCCCTCCCTCCCTCCCTCTCTCCCTCTGCCCCCCCCCTCCCTCCCTCCCCTCTCCCTCCCTGCGTCCCTCCCTCCCTCTCACTCCCTCCCTCCCTCCCCTCCCTCCCTCCCTCCCCCCCCCCTCCCTCCTTCTGTCCCCTCTCCCTCCCTCCCTCTCTCCCTCTGCCCCCCCCTCCCTGCGTCCCTCCCTCCCCTCTCCCTCCCTCCCTCCCTCTCTCCCTCTGCTCAACCCTCCCTCCCTCCCCTCTCCCTCCCTGCGTCCCTCCCTCCCCTCACCCTCCCTGCGTTGAGCGCGGCCTCTCGCGTTCTCGACTGGTGAAGCAAGCCACCAACTGTGGTACCCGCGGCCCCGTGTGGAATGTCATTGCGTGCCCTCCGTCTTCACCCCCCCAACACCCCCCTCCCCCTCCCCACCCCCACCAGTGCCAGCTCAAGGAGATCCAGGAAGCCTTCACCGGCATGCTGTCCGAGAACGACGGTAAGGCCTTGCCCCCCGCCACCCCGGCTTCACCTTGAGAAGCGTTAGCCTTCTCATCTGTTCACGTCCGTTGAAGTTCTCGGTCGAGGGCCCCGCTGGGCTCCGCAGCCCTCTTTCGGGAAGCGAGCACGGTGCCGCCACGAATGACGGCTCAGCGCAGCGGCTTTACCCTCGACGTGGAAATTCATCGCGGCAGCCGAATGCGCCGGACGCGTGATGTTGATTCTTGAACGAGGAGGGGGGAAACTGGAGGGTTCCCGGGGGGGCGGCGGGGGGGGGGTGGTGGAACAATTAACGTGATCCACGGGGAGAGCGTTGCAGGCTCAAAATTATACAACAGGCGTCAGGGTCGCGATGGAACCCACGACCTCCTGTATACCAGGCGAGGTAGTAAACATCTCCTAGCCACCGTGGCTCCCTTGGAATAATTACCGTTGTTCCCATCAACCTGTCATTGTCTATCCTGCGTTTGTGTGTGCGCGTGTGGGGTGTGCCACAGTGCCGGCCTTCATAGGTGGTGCTCGCTAACAGCACTTGCCCCCAACAGTCTGTTAAGGCTACAATGGGGGGGGGGTGTCTAGTTTTTGCGGTATATGCTGTGCTGCACCCGCTCACGGCCGACGTCAGTGACGAATACCTGAACAGGTCCTGGGCCTCCCCTAGGCTCGACTCAGACTCAAGTGAGTACCTGGCGCAATGTGTAAACACCGGCGCTCGGGAGACGAAGTCAACCAAGCGTGGTGTTGGCCACCCACCCCCCCCCCCCCCCCCCCCCCTCGTGCCCCGTGCCGCCCTTCATAGGTGCTGCTCGCTAACAGCACTAAAATATTTTCGGAGCATGCGGTGATATCGTTCCCGTGCAAAGTTATACCGCGGTGCCCCCAGTTAATTGTTGAAATCAATAAGCAGACAATATGTTTATACCTGTCAACAATAATAATATTTCGATTTAAAGCTTTCGTGACTGCAAGGATTCATCTTCTTTGGTTCTTTCGGTAAAGTCACCACGTAGAATGAGAATAAAATAATAAATTGATAAAATAAAATAACACAATAAAATTCTCACGACGTTTCGGCCACAACACAAGCGGCCTTCATCAGGTGAAGGGACGAGACTGTCTGTCCTACCAGACTACTGTCTGTCCTACCAGACAGTCTCGTCCCTTCACCTGATGAAGGCCGCTTGTGTTGTGGCCGAAACGTCGTGAGAATATTATTGTTATTTTATTTTATCAATTTATTATTTTATTCTCATTCTACGTGGTGACTTTACCGAAACAACCAAAGAAGAATAATAATATTACTTGGCAGAGACGGACACGTGCAGGAGACGTATGCCATGCTTACGAATCTTGCTTAACGAAGACTAAACTCCGTAAGAGGTTTTTTTTGGGTTAGATCGCGTAAATATACGTGTCGTCAAAACCCGCCACCACCCGACACGGCCAACTAGTAAGGGTTGTCGCGTAAACAGAACGCGGCCAATTCGTCACTAGTACAGCACGCCGGTTGTGTGTTGGAGGGCCATGGATGATATTGGTTCGCGAAAGCCTACGCGCTAAACTAAGACTAAACAATTATTTTTATTTTACCAAGTAAGGCCCACTGGACTACGTGGCTCTTTTTGAGAAGCGACCTGGCCACAAATAGTAGCTCAACGAGAGGGGCTTCTCGTCATTCCACGTGGACATTTTTAGCAGCAGCCAGCTTCTCTAAACGCGTGACGTTGATTCTAAACGTGGAGTGAAAAACCGGAGCACCCGGAGAAAAATCCACACGACCACGGGGAGAGAAAACACACGCAAACTCCAAATATACAGCAGCAGCAGCAGCAGGCGTCAGGGTCGGGATCGAACCCACGACCTCCTGCACACCAGGCGAGGTAGTTAACATCTCCTAGCCACCGTGATGATGATGAGAGAGAGAGAGAGACACGCAAACTCCAAATATACAGCAGCAGCAGCAGGCGTCACGGTCGGGATCGAACCCACGACCTCCTGTATACCAGGCGAGGTAGTTAACATCTCCTGGCCACCCTGATGATGATGAGAGAGAGAGACACGCAAACTCCAAATATACAGCAGCAGGTGTCAGGGTCTGGATCGAACCCATGACCTCCTGTACACCAGGCGAGGTGGTTAACATCTCCTGGCCACCCTGATGATGATGATGAGAGAGAGACACCGCAAACTCCAAATATACAGCAGCAGGTGTCAGGGTCGGGATCGAACCCTCGACCTGCTGTACACCAGGCGAGGTAGTTAACATCTCCTAGCCACCGTGATGATGAGAGAGAGACACGCAAACTCCAAATATACAGCAGCAGGCATCAGGGTCGGGATTGAACCCACGACCTCCTGCACACCAGGCGAGGTATTCATAATAAAGGTTTTTGGGTTAGATCGCGTTTATTTATAAATGTGTCGTAACCCTCCACCACCCGACACGGCCAATCAGCAAAGAAAAGTGTCACGTTGACAAAAGACAAATAATTCACTACTTCAGCCCACCGGTGTGTTGAAGAGTTAATCCACATTTACAGTTTGAGTACGACGTTTCGCTGGTAAATACTTCCAGCATCATCGGGCAATTCGCCAGAATGGTAAAGCCCTCGCTTGCTCCCGGTTTTATATAGAGCAGAAGAGTGACGTCATCACTTAACTCATCAGGTGCAGTGATTAGAGGCGGAGGGGGGGGTAATGTAATTATATAATCGATTAGTAATCAGTCATTGGTTATGATTAGTAATGAGTTGTAGATTAGTAATTCTTTAAATCAAAATGTAATGTGTATTATTTAATAATACGCTTCCAGGCCGCACTGAGCCGGTAGCTGTCAGAGCGATTAAAGTTATTCTTGTTCCTCTCAATTTCAATGGATTCTCTAATTAGTCTTTGCCAATTAGTTTTACACACCACTGCAACATTGTCAAAATCAATTGAGTGTCCTTGTTGACAAGCATGTTCTGCCACTGCCGACAGTTGTGTTTGAGATAATTTAATATTTCTCTGATGTTCTTTTAGTCTTACGCTGATGTTACGTCCCGTCTGCCCAATGTAGCAGCTGCCACAGGTAGTTAACATCTCCTAGCCACCGTGATGATGGAGAGAGAGAGAGAGACACGCAAACTCCAAATATACAGCAGCAGCAGCAGGCGTCAGGGTCGGGATCGAACCCACGACCTCCTGCACACCAGGCGAGGTGGTTAACGTGAAATGATGATCTCCGGTTCGTTGGCACCCCGCTCCGTGCTGCAGAGCTGAGCCAGGACGTCGCCTCCAAGGGGCTGGCGCTGGTCTACGAGCACGGCACAGACGACGACCGCAAGCAGCTGGTGTCCATCCTCGTGGAGACCCTCATGACGGGAAAGAGGTGAGGTGGGGTCGGTAGGGTGGGGTGGGGTGGGTGGGTGGATTTGGGTGGGTGGATGTGCGGGTGGGTGCGTGTGTGTGTGTGTGTTTTTGTAGATGTGCGAGTGCAACACAGCCTGGCACAAGCGTCGTGGTGACGTCACCGCACACTTAGTGGCGAATGGCGGTTGTTGTTTTTGTTGTTGTTGTGTGTGGGTGGGCGGTGGTGTAGCGGTGAGCGCTACGCTGCGCTGCGAACCTGGCGACCCGGGTTCGATTCCCGCTCACGGCCACCAACACCGGTGACGATTATCTGAACCTGTCGTGGGCATCCCCTAGGTCGACTCGGCCTGAAATGCGGTGTGTAAACATCGCCACTGGGGAGACAAAGGCGGCCGGGCGTGGTGCTGGTCACCCACCCCCTCGTGTGCCGTGCCGGCCTTCATAGGTGCTACTCGATTAACGGCACTTTCCCCAACAGTCTGTGAAAGAAACTCTTTGTTTCTTTTGGTAAAGTCACGTAGGTATAAAATAATATATCACGACGCTTCGATCGCCACACAAGCAATCGTCTTCAGGTGGGAGGGAGAATTCCTGCAGTCACGAAAGCTTCAAATCAAGATTATACGGGGGACCTTCGTCTTTGGGTGGGCGGACGGGTGGGCGGGTGGGCGGGTGGATAAGTGTCTGCGTGGGTGAGTGGGTGGATTTTGTGGAGGGATGTGTGGGTGGATGAGTGCCAACGGGGTGGACTACACGGGACCTCTTCTGCCTACCCGGCATTGTAATCCGATCGCAATCGCCCGACACTCCCCCGGCACTTCACATCATGACGCATTTCATAACATTTTGGCTGCTCCTGATCATTTAATTTTCCCCGTTTGATTTCGTTCATTTTTTTTTTTTGCCGTCAAACAAATCCCTCGCCGCCAGGAAGCCGCAAGCAGTCACGCAGGACACAGAAATATTCCCGGGCGAAGGCGTCGGCAAAACTCCGGAGGGGTAAGTGTGTCGGAGAGAGAGAGAGAGACACTCCCAGATGGGGTGAGAGTGTCAGAGAGAGAGAGACACTCCCAGAGGGGTGAGAGTGTCAGAGAGAGAGAGAGACACTCCCGGAGAGGGTGAGTGTGTCGGAGAGAGAGAGAGACACTCCCAGAGGGGGTGAGAGTGTCAGAGAGAGAGAGAGACACTCCCGGAGAGGGTGAGTGTGTCAGAGAGAGAGACACTCCTGGAGGGGGTGAGTGTGTCAGAGAGAGAGAGAGACACTCCCATAGGGGGTGAGTGTGTCGGAGAGAGAGAGAGGCACTCCTGGAGGGGGTGAGAGTGTCGGAGAGAGAGAGAGAGACACTCCCAGAGGGGGTGAGTGTGTCGGAGAGAGAGAGAGAGACACTCCCGGAGGGGGTGAGAGTGTCAGAGAGAGAGAGAGACACTCCTGGAGAGGGTGAGTGTGTCAGAGAGAGAGAGAGAGACACTCCTGGAGGGGGTGAGTGTGTCAGAGAGAGAGAGAGACACTCCCAGAGGGGGTGAGAGTGTCAGAGAGAGAGAGAGAGACTCCTGGAGAGGGTGAGAGTGTCAGAGAGAGAGAGAGAGACACTCCTGGAGAGGGTGAGTGTGTCAGAGAGAGAGAGAGAGACACTCCCAGAGGGGGTGAGTGTGTCAGAGAGAGAGAAACTCCTGGAGGGGGTGAGTGTGTCGGAGAGAGAGAGAGAGACACTCCTGGAGAGGGTGAGTGTGTAAGAGAGAGAGAGAGACACTCCCAGAGGGGGTGAGTGTGTCAGAGAAAGAGAGAGAGAGAAACTCCTGGAGGGGGTGAGTGTGTCGGAGAGAGAGAGAGAGAGACACTCCTGGAGGGGGTGAGAGTGTCGGAGAGAGAGAGAGACACTCCTGGAGAGGGTGAGTGTGTCAGAGAGAGAGAGAGACACTCCCAGAGGGGGTGAGTGTGTCAGAGAGAGAGAGACACTCCTGGAGAGGGTGAGTGTGTCAGAGAGAGAGAGACACTCCCAGAGGGGGTGAGTGTGTCAGAGAGAGAGAGACACTCCTGGAGGGGGTGAGTGTGTCGGAGAGAGAGAGAGGGACACTCCTGGAGAGGGTGAGTGTGTCGGAGAGAGAGAGAGACACTCCCAGAGGGGGTGAGAGTGTCGGAGAGAGAGAGAGAGAGACACTCCCAGAGGGGGTGAGAGTGTCGGAGAGAGAGAGACACTCCCGGAGGGTGAGAGTGTCAGAGAGAGAGAGAGAGACACTCCTGGAGAGGGTGAGTGTGTCAGAGAGAGAGAGAGAGAGACACTCCCAGAGGGGGTGAGTGTGTCAGAGAAAGAGAGAGAGAGACACTCCTGGAGAGGGTGAGTGTGTCAGAGAGAGAGAGAGACACTCCCGGAGGGGGTGAGAGTGTCGGAGAGAGAGACACTCTCAGAGGGGGTGAGAGTGTCAGAGAGAGAGAGAGAGACACTCCCAGAGGGGGTGAGAGTGTCAGAGAGAGAGAGAGACACTCCCAGAGGGGGTGAGAGTGTCGGAGAGAGAGAGAGAGACACTCCCAGAGGAGGTGAGTGTGTCAGAGAGAGAGAGACACTCTCAGAGGGGGTGAGTGTGTCAGAGAGAGAGAGAGAGAGAGACACTCCCAGAGGGGGTGAGTGTGTCAGAGAGAGAGAGAGAGACACTCCCAGAGGGGGTGAGTGTGTCAGAGAGAGAGAGACACTCTCAGAGGGGGTGAGTGTGTCAGAGAGAGAGAGAGAGACACTCCCAGAGGGGGTGAGAGTGTCAGAGAGAGAGAGAGACACTCCCGGAGAGGGTGAGTGTGTCAGAGAGAGAGAGACACTCCCAGAGGGGGTGAGAGTGTCAGAGAGAGAGAGAGAGACACTCCCAGAGGAGGTGAGTGTGTCAGAGAGAGAGAGAGAGAGACACTCCCAGAGGGGGTGAGTGTGTCAGAGAGAGAGAGAGAGACACTCCCAGAGGGGGTGAGTGTGTCAGAGAGAGAGAGACACACTCAGAGGGGGTGAGTGTGTCAGAGAGAGAGAGAGAGACACTCCTGGAGGGGGTGAGAGTGGGTGAGAGTGTCGGAGAGAGAGAGACACTCCCAGAGGGGGTGAGAGTGTCAGAGAGAGAGAGAGACACTCCCAGAGGGGGTGAGTGTGTCAGAGAGAGAGAGAGAGACACTCCCAGAGGGGGTGAGTGTGTCAGAGAGAGAGAGAGAGAGAGACACTCCTGGAGGGGGTGAGTGTGTCGGAGAGAGAGAGAGAGACACTCCCAGAGGGGGTGAGTGTGTCAGAGAGAGAGAGACACTCCCGGAGGGGGTGAGTGTGTCAGAGAGAGAGAGACACTCCTGGAGGGGGTGAGTGTGTCAGAGAGAGAGAGAGAGACACTCCTGGAGGGGGTGAGTGTGTCAGAGAGAGAGAGAGAGAGACACTCCCAGAGGGGGTGAGTGTGTCAGAGAGAGAGAGACACTCCCAGAGGGGGTGAGTGTGTCAGAGAGAGAGAGACACTCCTGGAGGGGGTGAGTGTGTCGGAGAGAGAGAGAGAGAGACACTCCCAGAGGGGGTGAGTGTGTCAGAGAGAGAGAGAGCGAGAGAGTGACACTCCTGGAGGGGGTGAGTGTGTCAGAGAGAGAGAGAGCGAGAGAGTGACACTCCTGGAGGGGGTGAGTGTGTCAGAGAGACGCTCCTGGAGAGGGTGAGAGTGTCAGAGAGAGAGAGAGACTCCCAGAGGGGGTGAGAGTGTCAGAGAGAGAGAGAGACACTCCCAGAGGGGGTGAGTGTGTCGGAGAGAGAGACACTCCCAGAGGGGGTGAGAGTGACAGAGAGAGAGAGAGAGACACTCCCAGAGGGGGTGAGTGTGTCAGAGAGAGAGAGAGAGACACTCCCGGAGGGGGTGAGAGTGTCAGAGAGAGAGAGAGAGACACTCCCAGAGGGGGTGAGTGTGTCGGAGAGAGAGAGAGAGACACTCCCAGAGGGGGTGAGTGTGTCGGAGAGAGAGAGAGAGACACTCCTGGAGAGGGTGAGTGTGTCGGAGAGAGAGAGAGAGACACTCCCGGAGGGGGTGAGTGTGTCAGAGAGAGAGAGAGAGAGACACTCTCAGAGGGGGTGAGTGTGTCGGAGAGAGAGAGACACTCCCGGAGGGGGTGAGAGTGTCAGAGAGAGAGAGAGACACTCCCAGAGGGGGTGAGAGTGTCGGAGAGAGAGAGAGAGACACTCTCAGAGGGGGTGAGTGTGTCAGAGAGAGAGAGACACTCCCAGAGGGGGTGAGTGTGTCAGAGAGAGAGAGAGACACTCCCAGAGGGGGTGAGTGTGTCAGAGAGAGAGAGAGACACTCCCAGAGGGGGTGAGTGTGTCAGAGAGAGAGACACTCCCAGAGGGGGTGAGAGTGTCGGAGAGAGAGAGAGACACTCCTGGATGGGGTGAGTGTGTCAGAGAGAGAGAGAGACACTCCCAGAGGGGGTGAGTGTGTCAGAGAGAGAGACACTCCCAGAGGGGGTGAGAGTGTCGGAGAGAGAGAGAGACACTCCTGGATGGGGTGAGTGTGTCAGAGAGAGAGAGAGACACTCCTGGAGAGGGTGAGTGTGTCAGAGAGAGAGACACTCCCAGAGGGGGTCAGTGTGTCAGAGAGAGAGAGAGACACTCCTGGAGGGGGTGAGTGTGTCAGAGAGAGAGAGAGACACTCCTGGAGGGGGTGAGAGTGTCAGAGAGAGAGAGAGAGACACTCCCAGAGGGGGTGAGTGTGTCAGAGAGAGAGAGAGACACTCTCAGAGGGGGTGAGTGTGTCAGAGAGAGAGAGACACTCTCAGAGGGGGTGAGTGTGTCAGAGAGAGAGAGAGACACTCCCAGAGGGGGTGAGTGTGTCAGAGAGAGAGAGAGACACTCCTGGAGGGGGTGAGAGTGTCAGAGAGAGAGAGAGACACTCACAGAGGGGGTGAGTGTGTCAGAGAGAGAGAGAGACACTCCTGGAGGGGGTGAGAGTGTCAGAGAGAGAGAGAGACACTCCCAGAGGGGGTGAGTGTGTCAGAGAGAGAGAGAGAGTGACACTCCCAGAGGGGGTGAGTGTGTCAGAGAGAGAGAGAGACACTCTCAGAGGGGGTGAGTGTGTCAGAGAGAGAGAGAGAGACACTCCTGGAGAGGGTGAGAGTGTCAGAGAGAGAGAGAGAGACACTCCCAGAGGGGGTGAGAGTGTCAGAGAGAGAGAGAGAGACACTCCCAGAGGGGGTGAGAGTGTCAGAGAGAGAGAGACACTCCCAGAGGGGGTGAGTGTGTCAGAGAGAGAGACACTCCCGGAGAGGGTGAGTGTGTCAGAGAGAGAGAGAGACACTCCCAGAGGGGGTGAGTGTGTCAGAGAGAGAGAGAGAGACACTCCCAGAGGGGGTGAGAGTGTCAGAGAGAGAGAGACACTCCCAGAGGGGGTGAGTGTGTCAGAGAGAGAGACACTCCCGGAGAGGGTGAGTGTGTCAGAGAGAGAGAGAGACACTCCCAGAGGGGGTGAGTGTGTCAGAGAGAGAGAGAGAGAGACACTCCTGGAGAGGGTGAGTGTGTCAGAGAGATAGAGAGACACTTCCAGAGGGGGTGAGAGTGACTGAGAGAGAGAGAGAGACACTCCCAGAGGGGGTGAGAGTGTCGGAGAGAGAGAGAGAGAGACACTCCTGGAGGGGGTGAGTGTGTCAGAGAGAGAGAGAGAGACACTTCCAGAGGGGGTGAGAGTGACTGAGACAGAGAGAGAGAGACACTCCCAGAGGGGGTGAGAGTGTCAGAGAGAGAGAGAGAGAGACACTCCTGGAGAGGGTGAGAGTGTCAGAGAGAGAGAGAGAGACACTTCCAGAGGGGGTGAGAGTGACTGAGAGAGAGAGATACTCCCGGAGGGGGTGAGTGTGTCAGAGAGAGAGAGAGGGGGGGTGAGAGTGTTCCGCAGCCGTCGCCGCGTCCGCGAACACCGCAGGGTAGTGCGGTGTCCTCGCTCGCCGCCGAATCTCGGTGACGCGCGCACGCGGCCCGGCGTTCGTTTTACCCGGAGAGGCGTAGCGGCGGCGGCGGCGGCGCTTAGATTGAAGACGCCGTCACTCGCCGCGGAGAACCACCGTGGCGACACGACCGCCGCCGCTCTCCTACGGTAGTCGTTCGGCCAAACCCGTTGCCGCACGTGGCCCTCACCGCGTCGGCTTGCGGTGGGAGCCTCAGTTTACCCGATTGAAGCTATTTTATCGTAGTTTTTCTTCCGATTCCACCTTCGAGGGGGAGTCGTTCGCGCCAAGAGCACCGTGGTGAAGGGGTTTTTTAGACTCGGCGAGGCGAACGCCCTGGCGTGGTTTGGTGTCGTGATGGCACTGCAGACGGGCGCGCGAAACGAACAGACGGCACGGGTGGACGCGGCAGCCGGTACATCCGTGCTGAGAGAGAGGTGTCCAGACAGACGGACAGACACTTGCACAGACGGGGAGACGGGCAGAGAGAACCAGACGGGGGCATGCAGAGGAGACGGATAGAGACGAACGGTTGGCACAGACGGGGAGACAGATGGACAGAGAGACCGACAGACAGACAGACAGAGAGACAGACAGGCAGAGAGATGGAAAAACAGATGGACAGGGATAGAGAGGCAGAGAGACACAGGTGGACGAGTGGACGGTGCGCTGTGTGTGGTGTTCGCAGGCAAAACCTGACCACGTACAAGGAGCTCTGCTCCTTGGTCAGCGACCTCAACCAGCCCGACCTCATCTACAAGTTCATGAACCTGGCCAACCACCACGCCGTGTGGAACTCGAGAAAGGTGGGGGGGGGGGGTGAGGGGCATGAACTGGCCAACAACCACCACCAACCACCAACCACCAACCACCACGTTATCATCCAGATCGAAGGGGGAAAAAAAACCACGACTTTCCCTCGAGCTGCTAAATGCGTGTTCAGTTTGTCGTGCTTACCACCCCCCCCTCCTGCCCGCCCCGCCTGTACCTCCGACTAGCACGGTTGGCTACGTACGGTGCAAAAGAAGTTAAACATGCATAGACTCACACAGAGATCCATAGATGACTCACACAGAGACTCATAGACTACTCACACATAGACCCATAGACTACTCACACAGAGACCCATAGACTACTCACACAGAGACCCATAGACTACACGCACAGAGACCCATAGACTACTCACACAGAGACCCATAGACTACTCACACAGAGACCCATAGACTACTCACACAGAGACCCATAGACTACTCACACAGAGACCCATAGACTCACACAGAGACCCATAGACTACTCGCACAGAGACCCATAGACTACTCGCACAGAGACCCATAGACTACTCACACAGAGACCCATAGACTACTCACACAGAGACCCATAGACTACTCACACAGAGACCCATAGACTACTCACACAGAGACCCATAGACTACTCCACAGAGACCCACAGACTACTCCACAGAGACACATAGACTACTCACACAGAGACCCACAGACTACTCACACAGAGACCCACAGACTACTCACACAGAGACCCACAGACTACTCACACAGAGACCCATAGACTACTCACACAGAGACCCACAGACTACTCACACAGAGACCCATAGACTAAACAGACAGACCCATAGACTACTCACACAGAGACCCATAGACTACTCACACAGAGACCCATAGACTACTCGCACAGAGACCCATAGACTACTCGCACAGAGGCCCATAGACTACTCGCACAGAGACCCATAGACTACTCACACAGAGACCCATAGGCTACTCACACAGACACCCATAGACTACTCACACAGAGACCCATAGACTACTCCACAGAGACCCACAGACTACTCACACAGACACCCATAGACTTCTCACACAGAGACACATAGACTACTCACACAGAGACCCACAGACTACTCACACAGAGACCCACAGACTACTCACACAGAGACCCATAGACTACTCACAAAGAGGCCCACAGACTACTCACACAGAGACCCATAGACTACTCACAAAGAGAACCACAGACTACTCAGACAGAGACACATAGACTACTCACACAGAGACCCACAGACTACTCACACAGAGACCAACAGACTACTCACACAGAGACCCACAGACTACTCACACAGAGACCCATAGACTACTCACACAGAGTCCCACAGACTACTCACACAGAGACCCATAGACTAAACAGACAGAGACCCATAGACTACTCACACAGAGACCCATAGACTACTCACACAGAGACCCATAGACTACTCGCACAGAGACCCATAGACTACTCGCACAGAGGCCCATAGACTACTCGCACAGAGACCCATAGACTACTCACACAGAGACCCATAGGCTACTCACACAGACACCCATAGACTACTCACACAGAGACCCATAGACTACTCCACAGAGACCCACAGACTACTCACACAGACACCCATAGACTGCTCACACAGAGACACATAGACTACTCACACAGAGACCCACAGACTACTCACACAGAGACCCACAGACTACTCACACAGAGACCCATAGACTACTCACAAAGAGACCCACAGACTACTCACACAGAGACACATAGACTACTCACACAGAGACCCACAGACTACTCACACAGAGACCCACAGACTACTCACACAGAGACCCATAGACTACTCACACAGAGTCCCCTAGACTACTCACACAGAGACCCACAGACTACTCACACAGAGACCCACAGACTACTCACACAGAGACCCACAGACTACTCACACAGAGACCCATAGACTAAACAGACAGAGACCCATAGACTACTCACACAGAGACCCATAGACTACTCACACATAGACCCATAGACTACTCCACAGAGACCCACAGACTACTCACACAGACACCCATAGACTTCTCACACAGAGACACATAGACTACTCACACAGAGACCCATAGACTACTCACAAAGAGGCCCACAGACTACTCACACAGAAACCCATAGACTACTCACAAAGAGACCCACAGACTACTCACACAGAGACACATAGACTACTCACACAGAGACCCACAGACTACTCACACAGAGACCCACAGACTACTCACACAGAGACCCATAGACTACTCACACAGAGTCCCCTAGACTACTCACACAGAGACCCACAGACTACTCACACAGAGACCCACAGACTACTCACACAGAGACCCACAGACTACTCACACAGAGACCCATAGACTAAACAGACAGAGACCCATTGACTACTCACACAGAGACCCATAGACTACTCACACAGAGACCCATAGACTACTCACACAGAGACCCATAGACTACTCGCACAGAGACCCATAGACTACTCACAAAGAGACCCACAGACTACTCACACAGAGACCCATAGACTACTCACACAGAGACCCACAAACTACTCACACAGAGATCCACAGTCTGTTGTCCTTCCCTCACACCTCCGGTTAGCGCGGTTGGCTGCGTATGGTGTGAAAGAAGTGTCGCAGTTAGCGCTACGCTGCGCGACGAACCCGGCGACTCAAGTTCCGTTCCCGCTCACGGCCGCCAACACCGGTGACGAGTATCTGAACCGATCATGGGCCTCCTCCACTAGGTCGACTCAGCCTCAAATGAGCACCTGGTGGCGATGTGTAAAACATCGTCACTGGGGAGACAAAGGCGGCCGGGCGTGGTGCTGGCCACCCACCCCCCTCGTGTGCCGTGCCAGCCTTTATAGGTGCTCGCTAGCAGCACTTGCCCCAACAGTCCGTCCGTGCTTATCCGCTTGTCTCTGGGTGCGTGGCCGTGCGTGGCAGGGCGCCGCGTTCGGGTTCAGCGGCATCGCGAGGCAGGCCGGGGCCCAGCTCGCTCCGCACCTGCCGCTCATCGTGCCCCGCCTCTACCGCTACCAGTTCGACCCCAACCCGGGCGTGCGCCAGGCCATGATGAGCATCTGGAACGCGCTCGTGCCCGAGACCAAGAACACGGTGGGTGCACCACAGGGGTCAGCGGTCGATCGGTCGGTAGGTAAGTGGATATTTGACCAGTCGGTCCGTAAGTGGATATTTGACCAGTCATTATATTTGACCAGTCGTTATATTTCACCAGTCGGTAGGTAAGTGGATATTTGGCCAGTCATTATATTTCACCGGTCGGTAGGTAAGTGGATATTTGACCAGTCATTATATTTCACCAGTCAGTAGGTAAGTGGATATTTGACCAGTCATTATATTTCACCAGTCTGTAGGTAAGTGGATATTTGACCAGTCATTATATTTTACCGGTCGGTAGGTAAGTGGATATTTGACCAGTCATTATATTTCACCGGTCTGTAGGTAAGTGGATATTTGACCATGCATTATATTTCACCAGTCGGTAGGTAAGTGGATATTTGACCAGTCATTATATTTCACCAGTCTGTAGGTAAGTGGATATTTGACCAGTCATTATATTTCACCAGTCGGTAGGTAAGTGGATATTTGACCAGTCGGTCCCTAAGTAGAAGACGGTACGGCAACAATGTGGCCTCCTCCCTGTTCCGCCTGCGTGGGATAGAGTGTTGCCCCCGATATTTCCCCCCACGTGCAAACGCTCATTATTTGGCCGAAAGCATCTTAATACGTAGAGGAGCGCAGACCTCGGGGTTGCGGGGGTGGAGGGGGGGCGGAGAATTTGGCGCCAGCCCAGCACCGCGTGGCTGCAGCCTTTCCGCTCGTCTGCGGTTCCTCCTGGCTCCCTCCGCGTCTCTCGCTGTCATCGAGAGCCAGGAGAGGTGCGGCAGAAGTTGAACTTCAATTATTGTTGAGCGAGTAGTTGCATTGGTGGGGTGGGTGGGTGGGGTTTGCGCCAGGGGCGGAGCCACAGTGGGGGCTGGGGGGGGGGCTTAGCCCCCCCTGAAATTTTGGGAAAGTCGGTGATCGGAATAACCGGATATCCGGCTGCTGAAAAATGCTGCAGGCTGCCACCTCGTGTGCTGCCCTGCAGGCTGCCACCTTGTGTGCTGCCCTGCAGGCTGCCACCTTCTATGCTGCCCTGCAGGCTGCCACCTTGTGTGCTGCCCTGCAGGCTGCCACCTTGTGCTGCCCTGCAGGCTGCCACCTTGTGCTGCCCTGCAGGCTGCCACCTTGTGTGCTGCCCTGCAGGCTGCCACCTTGTGTGCTGCCCTGCAGGCTGCCACCTTGTGCTGCCCTGCAGGCTGCCACCTTGTGTGCTGCCCTGCAGGCTGCCACCTCGTGCTGCCCTGCAGGCTGTCACCTTGTGTGCTGCCCTGCAGGCTGCCACCTTGTGTGCTGCCCTGCAGGCTGCCACCTTGTGTGCTGCCCTGCAGGCTGCCACCTCGTGTGCTGCCCTGCAGGCTGCCACCTTGTGTGCTGCCCTGCAGGCTGCCACCTTGTGTGCTGCCCTGCAGGCTGCTTGAGCGGCAGCCTTTCGAACTTATCGAACTTATTAGCCACATCAGTGGCTCCGACCTATTAATAAACTCCGCGTTCAAATCCAGCCCCCCCAAAGTCAAAATCCTGGCTCCGCCCCTGGTTTACGCTTGTGGGTGGTGGTTGGTTGGGTGAGTTTGAGAGTGGGCGGGTGAATGGGAGGATAGGTCGGTTGCTTTGCTAGGAGGAGCATTCATATGAGGGCGGGTGGGGTGTGTGTTAGTTAGGCCAAACCTTTAACGATTATCTGAACCGGTCCTTGGTCTCCCCGAGGTCGACTCAGCTTCAAATGAGTACCTGGTGCAGTGTGTAAACATCGCCACTCGGGAGACAAAGGCGGCTGGTCATGGTGCTGGCCACCCACCCCCTCATGTACCCTTGCCCCAACAGTCAGATAAGGCTATACGGGGGATCTTTGTCTTTGTAGGCAGGTGAGTGCGGGGGTTGAGTTGGAGAGTGGGTAAGTGGCTGGAGGTTAAGTAAGTGGGAGAGCGGATGAGTGGAAATTGGGTGAGTAGGTGGATTTGAGAGCGGGTCAGTGAGCAGTTGCGAGGTGGAGTGGTTGGGGACAGCAGGTGAGTGGGTCGGTGGATGAGTGAGCGCGAGCGTGTGAGTGGATGCAATGGAAGGATAGAGGTAAGTCGGTAATGAAGTGAGGGTGTGGGCGACCGAGTGAGCAAATTGATGAGTGTGTGAGCGAATGGCTGAATGCCTCTCTCTGGTCTATGTATGTTGGCAGGAGGATGTCACGGACGTGCGTACGTACGCATGTTGAACTTCTTTCGCACCGTACGTAGCCACCCACGCTAATCGGAGGGGGTGGGAAAGACAACAAACTAAACGCAAAAAGCAGTTCTCAAGGAATGCGTTTTCAATCTCAATTATTTAAAAGCGCATGGCCCCCCCGGTGGCTTCCTAACACCGGAAGGAAGAGCGTTCCAGACGGCCACAGATGCGCGTCTGAAAGCGTGCGACGCGGTGACTGTCTTAGTGGTTTAACACGTGGTCGGCTTTCGTGACCAATATCCACAATGGAGGGGGTTGGATCACGTAAAATATATTTGTTTCTGTCTATGTGGCTTTACCGAAAGAGCCAAAGAATATAAATATATAAATGTGTCGTTGAACCCACCACCACCCGACACAGCCAACTAGTAAGGGGTTTGTCACGTAAACAGAACGCGCCCCATTAGTTCCGAGTTCAGCACACGCCGGTTGTGTGTTGGAGAGCAAACCCACCGCAGTATTCACAATTCGAGCAAGCGTGACGTTTCGCCCAGGCAATGACAACAAACCAGCCTCGTCAGTCCGGTCAGCAGGAATTGTGGAGGAATCCTCCTCCTGTTTTCGATCTTTCAACAGAATAGGGTAGGGGGCGGGGTGGTGTGTGTGTGTGTGTGTAGACGTGGTGTCGTCACTTTGTGTCTTGGCGGTTCTATAGAGGGCCCGTGTCGGGCGCTGACGTTACGCTCCCCCGCACGTCTCCCCCCCCCACGCCACACCCGCAGGTGGACAAGTACATGAAGGAGATCCTCGAGGACGTCATCAGCAACCTCACGGTCAACCTGTGGAGAGTCCGGGAGTCCAGGTAGCTCGGCGCGACGAGGTGGGCGAGGAAGGGGAGCTTGTGGGTGTGCAAGGGAAGCTGGTCCGGTGGTGATGGGGTGATGGTGGTGGTGATGGTGGCGGCGATGGTGTTGGGGATGATGATAATGGCAGTGGTAGTGATGATGGTGGTGACATCGGTGGTGGCATTGGTGGTGGTATTGTTGATGATGATGATGGTAGTGATGATGGTGGTGGTGGTGGTGGTGATGGCAGCGATGGTGGCGGTGATGGAAGCGATGGTGGCAGCAGTGGTGGCGAGGGTGGTGATATTGGTGGTGATGCCGGTAACATCTCAGTTGGTCCAACCCATGGCACCTGGGTCTGTCCTGTGACCTCCTGTCAGCGAGATTTCGACACTTCACGTGGCCTCACAGTGCGCCTGGGCCTGGCACAGGTGCCGTGGTGACGACACCGCCACTTAGTGGCGAATGCCAGGTGTTGTTGTTGTTGATGGTTGTGGTGATGGTGTTGGCGATGATGATGATGGTGATGATGATGATGGTGACAATGACAGATGATAACAATGATGTTGGTGGTGGTGATGGTGGCGGTCGTGGTTGTGGTAGTGTGATGGTGGTGACAAAGGTGATAATGACGACGACGACGATGATGATGACGACGACCATGATGATGATAATGTTGATGGCGACGATGATGTTGGTGGTAGTGACGGTGGCGGGGTCGTGGTTGTGGCAGTGACGGTGGTGGTGACAAAGGTGATAATGACGACGACCAGGACGATGATGATAAGGTTGATGATGATGTTGGTGGTAGTGACGTTGGCGGGGTCGTGGTTGTGGCAGTGACGGTGGTGGCAGTGGTGGCAGTGGTGGCAGTGACGGTGGTGGCAGTGGTGGCAGTGGTGGCAGTGACGGTGGTGGCAGTGGTGGCGAACGTGACGGCGATTGTTCGATGCGTGACGCCGCGTCGATGCGGCGAATATTTCGTCGATTCTCGGCGCTCGCGACACGGCGCTTCGCATCGTACGAGCGAGATTGGAAAACGAATCTGACGACGGCAACGAGAGCATTTGGGCCGGTAGTGTGTCTGCGACGGTCCTACGTTTTTCGCGGTAGAGAGATTCGTCGCCTGTGCCTCCGCAGCTGCTTGGCCCTCAAGGATCTGCTGCGAGGGCAGCAGCTGGACGAGGTGATCGAGCGGCTGCCGGAGATCTGGGCGACGCTCTTCCGCGTGCGCGACGACATCAAGGCGAGCTGCATTCCCGAACGTCGCCCGCCCGCCCGCTCAGTGGCTCGCTCGGTCACCGACTGACTCACTTATTGCTCGCTCGCTCGCCCATTTACCAGTGTACCTCGCCATTGAACGAAGACGGTCACTGGCATCGCGCGCTTTCAGATGCGCTGCTTCTGCGGCCATCTGGAACGCTCTTCCGTTCCGATATTAGGAAGCCGCTGATAGCTGTGCACTTTTAAATCGTCATCATCATCATCTAGTATTGACAAACTCATTTATTTCGAGCAGCTTTTTGTGTTTAGTTTGTTGTCCTTCCCCTGCACCTCCGATTAACACGATTGGCTACTTACGGTGCGAAAGAAGTTAAACATACATACGTGCATACCTGCTCACACACACACGCACTCACTCACGCGATCACTTGCGCATTCATTCTCTCACTCACCCCACCCAACCCACCACACTGACCCCATCCACCCCACCCCATCCACCCCACCCCATCCACCCCACCCCATCCACCCCACCCCATCCACCCCACCCCACCTACCACAGCAACCCTGACTGACCTCAACCAACCCAAACTTACCCACCCCACCCACCCTGTCCACCCCACCCACCCCACCGACCTCACCCACCCCACCCACCCCACCCCACCCACCTCACCCACCCCACCCACCTCACCCACCCCACCCACCCCACCCACTCCACCCCACCCCACCCACTCCACCCCACCCAACCATACCCAACCAACCCACCAAACCCCACCACACCCAACCCCACCACAACCACCCCACCAACCCACCCCACCCACCCAACCCACCACACCGACAACACCCACCCTACCCCATCCACCCCACCCCACCCACCACACCAACCCTGACCGACCACAACCAACCCCTTCCTACCCACCCTTCCCATCAAACCAACTCACCCACCCCGTCCACCCCTCCCACCCCACCCACCCTGTCCACCCCACCCACCCCACCGACCTCAACCACCCCACCCACCTCACCCACCCCACCCCACCCACCTCAACCACCCACCTCAGCCCACCCACCCCACCCGACCCGGGTTGTAACGAGGGACGTCTCGCCCCCACACAGGAGTCCGTGAGGAAGGCCGCCGACCATGCCCTCAAGACCCTGAGCAAGGTGAGCGCCTCGGGGCGACCTCTCTCACCGAGCCGGCAACCCCTGGGGGGCCTGGGTTCGAGCCCCAGGCTTCAGGCAGTCCGTCCCCCTGTCGATTCTCTTGAAAGTATTCCGTGCGCGCGAGAGTCATTGGCGAATGATCACGTAATGAATGCGCCAATATGAAATAACGACGGTAACGTTGAAATCCATAAAGCGAACGCGGAACGACCTGAAAGAACTTTCTGAACCCGTTGATGGCTTAGCGACGTGGGTTTCTGAGTGAATCGGCGAGCGCGAACGAGTGGCATCGTGCGAGCCGCACGACCGGTTGAATGTTTTTGTTTTATTCGCTTGCAGTCGCCAGCTAGGTTAGGATGTCCGTTATTCGTACGTTGATTTCTCGGCACCACGTTGGGGGTGGGGGGAGGGGGGGTGTTGGTCAGGCAAGGCGGCTTTAACTCGGTTGAAACAAAATGCAGCAAGGTGTGGGTCACAGTAACGGCCAAACAACGTTGAGAACCGCTGATCTAAGACGCCCCGGGTTCGAGCCCTACAGATTGGCGTCCCTATCTCTCTCTGTATCGTGGACATTCGTCGTAACGACCTTGTCCAGCGCAACCGAGTCGGCACTGCTGTGAACCTGGAGATGTTAACCACCTCGCCCAGTGCCAGATTAAGCTAGTGCGGGGCCTGTAGCGTATGTTATAAAGGGGCCCTAAATAAAATAAAAATAAAAAAAACGTAAATATCAAAACACACACAAATGTTTTACTTGCACAGTAAAGTAAGTGTTCTTTTTTCATTTGCTATACAGCCAGATAATACGACAAATTGCTAACCTTAAACATCCAGTCGTTCATAGTCCAATAGTAATAGTGCAAGTGCAGAACTACTGATCCGGAAATGATCGCTTGAAAGCGTTTAGCGTGGGGCCCTTGAAAGTGCGGGGCCCGTAGCCACGACATATGTAGCTACTTTTGCTCCTGGGATAATCCGGCACTGACCTCGCCTGGTGTACAGGAGGTCGTGGGTTCGATCCCGACCCCTGACGCCTGCTGCTGTATATTTGGAGTTTGCGTGTATCTCTCCCTCCATACCCGTGGTTGTGTGGATTCTTCTGCGGGTCCTGCAGGTTTTTTTTCCCCTCCACATTTTAGAATCGACCGATAACAATTTCCACGTGATGATAATCCACTTTGTTGAGCGATCATTTGTGTCCAGGTGGCTTCTGACAAAGAGTTCCACAGCTCAGTGGGCCTTATCTCGTAAAACAAAAAAGTGTTATAGTAATAGGTTTTTACCCTTTTATCTGGCACCAAAACTGACACCTTTATACAGGGGATCATGTTTGCAATAACCACAACACAAGCAGTCAAAATGCAAACAAAAAGAGACAACTCTGATAATGATATGCACTGTCCTTGAAATTGATTGGTCCACACCCGAGACGGCTTTTCTTAGAGCCCAGTCTCCACTGGTGTTGGACCAAATGACGCCTTTTGGTGTCAGTTTTGGTGCCAGATAAAAGGGTAAAAACCTATTACTATATCTTGCTACTGGCAAAGGAGGTCTTAGTGCAAAAAAATGTTGTTTAGTTTAGAATCTGAATACCAGTTGTCAAACCGTGTTCTCAAGCGCAGCAAGTTGATCGTTTCTGCCTGGTTACCACGAACTGCAAAGACCAAAGATCCCCCCGTGTACTAGCCTCAACTGACTGTTGGGGCGAGTGCTGTTAGCGAGCAGCACCTATGAAGGCCGGCACTGTGGCACACGAGGGGGGTGGGTGGCCAGCACCACCACGCCCGACCGCCTTTGCCTCCCCTTTAGTGGCGATGTTTACTACACACACCGCACCAGGTACTCGTTTGAGGCTGAGTCGACCTCGGTGGAGGCCCAGGACCGGTCCAGATAATCGTCACCGATGTCGGTGGCCGTGAGCGCGAATCGAGCTCGGCCCGCCGGGTTCGCCCCGCGGCGCGCTCAACCGTTGCACCACCGCTCCCCACGCGCGCACGCCACACACTCACTGAAGTGGGCCAATGTGAGGCCCTCGGGGACTCAAACGTCCTCGCGCCCACCGCAGGTCTCCGTGCGCCTGTGCGACCCCGCCAACGGGGCCTCCGCGCAGAAGACGGTGGCGGCGATCCTGCCGTGCCTGCTCCAGAGCGGCATCTCCAGCCAGGTGGAGGAGGTCCGGTCGCTCAGGTATTCCACAAGGCCGCCCCATCGTTCGTTCAATTCTTCCATTCAGGGTGCATTGTTTGACCCATTGACGCATTCATTCCTCCGTCAATTAATTCGTTAATCAGCACTCCGTCCGTGAGAGAGCGGCACTCTCCGCGCAGACGGAGCAGGGGTCCGGTCGCTGAGGCGTTGAGCAAACAAGCCCCATAAATTGATATTTGTTCATTTATTCAGCCGTCAATCTATCCGATAATGTATTCATTAATTGATTTTTTGCCATCAATTTACTAATGAGGATATGCATCTTTCATTATCATGCGGAAAAAGCAGCTGCAGAGGCACAGGAGACGAATCTCGCTACCGCGAACGACACCGTCACAGCCACACTCCGGCCCAATGCTCTCATCGTCGTCGTCGTCGTCATCAGATTGCCTCGAGCGCCTTGACGTAAGGCGCTCGAGGAAGGCAGGATAAACTAGGAGCCACTCGTGTTCGCCGGCCGGCCGGGCGAACCGATCGATTGAGATTCATTCATTCGGTTCTGGGCGATGGGGAAGCGGGGGGTGGGGGGGGGTGGGGGGGGTGCCAGGTGCCAGGATGGCGGCGATCAAAAACTAACGTCGCCCCCCGTCGTCGTCCCGCTACCCGCCACCCGCTACCCGCTACCCGTTACCCGCTACCCGCTACCCGTTACCCGCTACCCGCTACCCGCTACCCGCTACCCGCTACCCGCTACCCGCTACCCGCTACCCGCTACCCGTTACCCACTACCCGCTACCCGCTACCCGCTACCCGCTACCCGCTACCCGCTACCCGCTACCCGCTACCCGTTACCCGCTACCCGCTACCCGCTACCCGCTACCCGCTACCCGCTACCCGCTACCCGCTACCCGCTACCCGTTACCCGCTACCCGCTACCCGTTACCCGCTACCCGCTACCCGCTACCCGCTACCCGTTACCCGCTACCCGCTACCCGCTACCCGCTACCCGTTACCCGCTACCCGCTACCCGCTACCCGCTACCCGCTACCCATTACCCGCTACCCGCTACCCGCTACCCGTTACCCGTTACCCGCTACCCGCTACCCGCTACCCGTTACCCGCTACCCGCTACCCGTTACCCGTTACCCGCCACCCGTTACCCGCTACCCGCTACCCGTTACCCGTTACCCGCTACCCGCCACCCGCCACCCGCTACCCGCCACCCGCCACCCGCTACCCGCTACCCGCTACCCGCTACCCGCCACCCGTTACCCGCTACCCGTTACCCGTTACCCGTTACCCGTTACCCGTTACCCGCTACCCGCCACCCGCTACCCGTTAACCACCACCCGCCACCCGCTACCCGCTACCCGCTACCCGCCACCCGCCACCCGCCACCCGCTACCCGCTACCCGTTACCCGCTACCCGCTACCCGCTACCCGCTACCCGCCACCCGTTACCCGCTACCCGCTACCCGTTACCTGCTACCCGCCACCCGCTACCCGTTACCCGCTACCCGCTACCCGCCACCCGCTACCCGCCACCCGTTACCCGCTACCCGCTACCCGCTACCCGTTACCCGTTACCCGCTACCCGCTACCCTCTACCCGCTACCCGTTACCCGCCACCCGCCACCCGCCACCCGTTACCCGCTACCCGCTACCCGCCACCCGCCACCCGTTACCCGCTACCCGCTACCCGCCACCCGCCACCCGTTACCCTCTACCCGCTACCCGCCACCCGCTACCCTCTACCCGCTACCCTCTACCCGTTACCCGCCACCCGTTACCCGCTACCCGCTACCCGCCACCCGCCACCCGTTACCCGCTACCCGCTACCCGCTACCCGCCGCCCGCTACCCTCTACCCGCTACCCTCTACCCGTTACCCGCCACCCGTTACCCGCTACCCGCTACCCGCTACCCGCCGCCCGCTACCCTCTACCCGCTACCCTCTACCCGTTACCCGCCACCCGTTACCCGCTACCCGCTACCCGCCACCCGCCACCCGTTACCCTCTACCCGCTACCCGCTACCCGCCGCCCGCTACCCTCTACCCGCTACCCTCTACCCGTTACCCGCCACCCGTTACCCGCTACCCGCTACCCGCCACCCGCCACCCGTTACCCGCTACCCGCTACCCGCCACCCGCCACCCGTTACCCTCTACCCGCTACCCGCTACCCGCCGCCCGCTACCCTCCACCCGTTACCCGCCACCCGCTACCCGCCACGCGGGCACCGCAGCGTGAGCACGCTGGTGAAGATCAGCAAGAGCGCGGGCTCGCTGCTCAAGCCTCACGTCACCCAGGTGATCGTCGTGCTGCTCGACTCGCTCACCACGCTCGAGCCGCAGCTCCTCAACTACATCAGCGTCCGCGCCTCGCAGCAGGAGCAGGCGAGTCGGCCATGTTGCCGCCACCCCCCCCACCCTTCCCCCCCCCCCCCCCCCCTCAACCCCCTCCCCCCCCGCCCCCACCTACCACCCCTTCCCCCTCTCACCCCCTCTCTGTGTGTCTGCATGGGTCTCTACGGATCTGTATAGGTCTCTACGCATCTATATGGGTCTCTATGGATCTCTATAGGTCTCTACGCATCTCTATGGGTCTCTATGGATCTCTGTGTGTCTGCATGGGTCTCTATGGATCTCTACGCAATCTCTATGGGTTTCTATGGATCTCTGTGTGTCTGCATGGGTCTCTATGAATCTCTATAGATCTCTACGCATCTCTATGGGTCTCTATGGATCTCTATAGGTCTCTAGGCATCTCTATGGGTCTCTATGGATCTCTGTGTGTTTGCATGGGTCTCTTTGGATCTCTGTGTGTCTGCATGGGTCTCTATGGATCTCTATAGGTCTCTATGCATCTCTATGGGTCTCTATGGATCTGTGTGTCTGCATGGGTCTCTACGGATCTCTATAGGTCTCTATGCATCTCTATGGGTCTCTATGGATCTGTGTGTCTGCATGGGTCTCTACGGATCTCTATAGGTCTCTATGCATCTCTATGGGTCTCTATGGATCTGTGTGTCTGCATGGGTCTCTATGAATCTCTATAGGTCTCTACGCATCTCTATGTGTCTCTATGGATCTCTGTGTGTCTGCATGGGTCTCTATGAATCTCTATAGGTCTCTACGCATATCTATGGGTCTCTATGGATCTCTGTGTGTCTGCATGGGTCTCTATGAATCTCTATAGGTCTCTACGCATATCTATGGGTCTCTATGGATCTCTGTGTGTCTGCATGGGTCTCTATGAATCTCTATAGGTCTCTACGCATCTCTATGGGTCTCTATGGATCTCTGTGTGTCTGCATGGGTCTCTATGGATCTCTATAGGTCTCTACGCATCTCTATGGGTCTCTATGGATCTCTGTGTGTCTGCATGGGTCTCTATGGATCTCTATAGGTCTTTACGCATCTCTATGGGTCTCTATGAATCTCTATAGGTCTCTACGCATCTCTATGGGTCTCTATGGATCTCTGTGTGTCTGCATGGGTCTCTATGGATCTCTGTGTGTCTGCATGGGTCTCTATGAATCTCTATAGGTCTCTACGCATCTCTATGGGTCTCTATGGATCTCTGTGTGTCTGCATGGGTCTCTATGGATCTCCATAGGTTTCTGTGCATCTCTATGGGTCTCTATGGATCTCTGTGTGTCTGCATGGGTCTCTATGGATCTCTGTGTGTCTGCATGGGTCTCTATGGATCTCTTTGTGTCTGCATGGGTCTCTATGAATCTCTATAGGTCTCCACGCATCGCTATGGGTCTCTATGGATCTCTGTGTGTCTGCATGGGTCTCTATGGATCTCTATAGGTCTCTACGCATCTCTATGGGTCTCTATGGATCTCTATGTGTCTGCATGGGTCTCTATGGATCTCTATAGGTCTCTACGCATCTCTATGGGTCTCTATGGATCTCTGTGTGTCTGCATGGGTCTCTATGGATCTCCATAGGTCTCTGTGCATCTCTATGGGTCTCTGGATCTCTGTGTGTCTGCATGGGTCTCTGGATCTCTGTGTGTCTGCATGGGTCTCTATGGATCTCTGTGTGTCTGCATGGGTCTCTATGAATCTCTATAGGTCTCTACGCATCTCTATGGGTCTCTATGGATCTCTGTGTGTCTGCATGGGTCTCTATGAATCTCTATAGGTCTCTACGCATCTCTATGGGTCTCTATGGATGTCTGTGTGTCTGCATGGGTCTCTATGGATCTCTATAGGTCTCTACGCATCTCTATGGGTCTCTATGGATCTCTGTGTCTGCATGGGTCTCTATGGATCTCTATAGGTCTCTACGCATCTCTATGGGTCTCTATGGATCTCTGTGTGTCTGCATGGGTCTCTATGAATCTCTATAGGTCTCTACGCATATCTATGGGTCTCTATGGGTCTCTATGGATCTCTGTGTGTCTGCATGGGTCTCTATGGATCTCTATAGGTCTCTACGCATCTCTATGGGTCTCTATGGATCTGTGTGTCTGCATGGGTCTCTATGGATCTCTATAGGTCTCTACGCATCTCTATGGGTCTCTATGGATCTCTATAGGTCTCTACGCATCTCTATGGGTCTCTATGGATCTGTGTGTCTGCATGGGTCTCTATGGATCTCTATAGGTCTCTACGCATCTCTATGGGTCTCTATGGATCTCTATAGGTCTCTGTGCATCTCTATGCGTGTTAGAGACGGTAAACCGCTTCCGTTGAGCCATGTCGCTTCTGAAAAAAGAGCCGCGTTGGTAGGGCTCGGCGGGCGTTGCCTGGTTAAATAAATTTTAAAAATCGTTTAGTTTTGGTTTTAGAATGCATCCCTCGTGCTCCGTGACGCACACGACCCTCGTCTCACCTCGTCTCACCTCGTCGCACTTCGTCACACCTCGTCTCACCTCGTCACCACCCCCCCCCCCGTCTTCGTCTACCGCACCAGGTTCAGATGGACTCGGTGCGTCTCAACGCAGCCAAGACCTCGCCGATGATGGAGACCGTCACGATGGTGAGAAAGCGACTTGCGACGGTGACGATGGTCAGCATCGGAATCGGATTATTTTTTTCTCTACGTGTATATGCACTGTAGGAGAAATCCGATGAGCTGTAAAGCTCTTTATGACAGATGTCCAGTAGGGGCATGGGGTCAGAACGTTACAATAACAAACAATACAAAAACACAATAGTAGTGTCATGTATAGCAAGGTAACGGTGATGATGATGATGATGATCATGGAAGTGTCACTATATATATTCAGCAAAGCCCCTGAGTGAGTCTCAAGACTCGTTTTCAGGAGGTTCCTGCAACATTGCCATTTCTGGCCAATTACATGAATGAGAGTTTTGTTTTGCGTTAAGGTTATCTATAGGTCCAGGCCAGTGGTATCTATCGGTACAGGGTTAGGGTTATCTATAGGTACAGACTAGTGGTATGTATAGGTACAGGGCTAGTGTTATAGGTATAAGGTTTTTTGCACGCACATATGTAGAGTCGTCGTATGGAGACGTGACGTCATGTGCGCGGTGAGGCGCGATGACGTCATGTCACCTGGGGGGGGGGGGGGGGGGGGGCGGTACTTAAGGGTGGATCCGGTGACGAAAGCGGGGTCGTTGTGTGGAGCCCGGGATGGAGAGCGTCTCAAGAGATAGCCAGGGGGAGGGCTGAGATGAGTCTGCAAGGGCCGGCTAGGCTAACGTGGAGCGCCGCTCTCCTCGGTCAATGCCCCCGTCCCGACTGGAGTGAGAGCCAAGAGGTAGCCCGGCTAGCGGTAAGATGGAGCACGTGGGGCCCGTGAAGGACCCAGTGTAGGGACACCTACTTCCCCGGCGTTATTAAACCGGTTGCGAAAGCCCCCTTACCTGGAAACCTGCCTCCGAGTCGTCATTCACCACGCACCACATATACAACCACGTGCGCCCGCCCCGCCGCGCGTGTGTGCACCGTGCGTGTGCTATGTGTTTACCACGTGCAACGAGCAGCGTGCACCCCCGTGCGTGTACGCTGCGCGTGTGTGCAGTGCCTGTCTGTGTGTGTGCAGTGCCTGTCTGTGTGTGTGCACCCCGTGTGTGTGCACGGTGTGTTGTGTACACGGTGTGTGCCACGTGTTTACCCCGTGTGTTCTCCCCGTGTGTTTACCCCGTGTGTGTGTGTGGACACGGTGTGTACCCCGTGTTCTCCCCGTGTGTGTACCCCGTGATTAACAATCACCGTGCGTGTACCCTGCGTGTGTGTGTACACGGTGTGTGCGTGCCACGTGTTCACCCCGTGCGTGTACCCTGCGTGTGTGTGCAGTGCCTGTCTGTGTGTGTGCACCCCGTGTGTGTGCACGGTGTGTGTGTACCCCGTGTGTGTGCACGGTGTGTGTGTACACGGTGTGTGTGTGCCACGTGTTTACCCCGTGTGTTTACCCTGTGCAAGTGCACGGTGTGTGTGTACACGGTGTGTGTGTGCCGCGTGTTTACCCCGTGTGTGTACCCCGTGTGTGTGTACACGGTGTGTGTGTGCCACGTGTTCTCCCCGTGTGTGTAGCCTGTGTGCTTACCCTGTGTGTGTACACGGTGTGTGTGTGCCACGTGTTCACCCCGTGTGCGTGTACCCTGCGTGTGTGTGCAGTGCCTGCAGTACGTGGATGAGCGAGTGCTCGCTGAGCTCATGCCCCGTCTCTGTGAGATGCTACGCAGCGGCGTGGGGCTCTCCACCAAGGCAAGCGCCGCGGTGCCTCGGACATGTTAGCTCCCTCGCCGGGTACACAGGAGGTCGTGGGTTCCATCCCGACGCCTGACGATGCCTGCTGTAGATTTAGTGTTTGCGGTGTCTCATCATCATCACAGTTGCGAGATGTTAGCTCCCTCGCCGGGTACACAGGAGGTCGTGGGTTCCATCCCGACGCCTGCTGTCGATTTAGAGTTTGCGGTGTCTCTCTCATCATCATCATCACAGTTGCGAGATGTTAGCTCCCTCGCCGGGTACACAGGAGGTCGTGGGTTCCATCCCAACGCCTGCTATCGATTTGGAGTTTGCAGTGTCTCATCATCATTATCATCATCACAATGACGAGATGTTAACTACCTCGCCTGGTATACAGAAGGTCGTGGGTTCCATCCCGACCCCTGACGATGCCTGCTGTACATTTAGTGTTTGCGGTGTCTCATCATCGTCACAGTTACGACATGTTAGCTCCCACGCCGGGTACACAGGAGGTCGTGGGTTCCATCCCGACGCCTGCTGTAGATTTAGTGTTTGCGGTGTCTCATCATCATCACAGTTGCGAGATGTTAACTGCCTCGCCTGGTATGCAGGAGGTGTAGTGGGTTCCATCCCGACCCCTGACGATGCCTGCTGTACATTTAGTGTTTGCGGTGTCTCATCATCATCACAGTTGCGAGATGTTAACTACCTCGCCTGGTGTACAGGAGGTCGTGGGTTCCATCCCGACCCCTGACGATGCCTGCTGCTGCTGCTGTATATTTGGGAGTTTGCGGTGTCTCATCGTTGTGAAGCGTGTTGGGTCAGGGGTGCCGCTGTTTGTTGTATAACTCCGAGGCTGCGCGGGGCGCTGGGGCGGTGGGGCTCTGCGTGCCGTCGTCGTCATCATCATTATCGTCGTCGTTGATGTCATATTCGTCATCGCTGTTGTCCTCGTCGTCGTCATCATTGTTGACGTCGGGCGTCGTCGTCGTCATCGTCGTCATTGTCGTCGTTGTCGTTGTCATCATCGTCGTCATCATCGTCGTCGTTGTCATCGTTGTCGTTGTCATCGTCATCATCGTCATCATTGTCATCGTCATCATCGTCATCATCGTCATCGTTGTCATCGTCATCATCGTCATCGTTGTCATCGTCATCATCGTCATCGTTGTCATCGTCATCATCGTCATCGTTGTCATCGTCATCATCGTCATCATCGTCGTCATCATCGTCATCGTTGTCGTCATTGTCGTTGTCATCATCGTCGTCGTTATCGTCGCCGTCGTCGTTGCGTGGCTGAGGAAGCTGCGGCCGTGTCCGCTCGCTGTGCTCGGCAGGGCGGCTCGGCTCACGTGGTGGTGGCGCTCACGGCGCAGTGCCCGCAGGACCTCGCTCCGTACGCAGGTAACTACGGCGGCCGCGACATCGTGACCCACTGTACGCACGCACGCACGCACGGCGAACTTCTTTCGCCCCGTACGTAGCCAGCCGCGCCAATCGGAGGTGCGGGGGAAGGACAGCAAACTAAACGCTTCAAGTAGTTCTAAGGAAATTAGTTTTCAATTTGCAGAGCTCCAGTGGCTGCCTGATAGCGGAAGGAAGAGCGTTCCAGACGGCCGCAAAAGCGCATCTGAAAGTGCCGCGATGCGGTGTGTCAGTACACGGGTTCTCTGTGTGATGAGTCAATGGGTCTCTATGTTAGAGTCTGTGGGTCTCTATGTTAGAGTATGTGGGTCTCTATGTTAGAGTCTGTGGGTCTCTATGTTAGAGTCTGTGGGTCTCTATGTTAGAGTCTGTGGGTCTCTATGTTAGAGTCTGTGGGTCTCTCTGTTAGAGTCTATGGGTCTCTATGTTAGAATCTATGGGTCTCTATGCTAGAGTCTGTGGGTCTCTATGTTAGAGTCTATGGGTCTCTATGTTAGAGTCTGTGGGTCTCTATGTTAGAGTCTATGGGTCTCTATGTTAGAGTCTGTGGGTCTCTATGTTAGAGTCTGTGGGTCTCTATGTTAGAGTCTGTGGGTTCTATGTTAGAGTCTGTGGGTCTCTATGTTAGAGTCTGTGGGTCTCTATGTTAGAGTCTGTGGGTCTCTATGTTAGAGTCTGTGGGTCTCTATGTTAGAGTCTGTGGGTCTCTATGTTAGAGTCTATGGGTCTCTATGTTAGAGTCTGTGGGTCTCTATGTTAGAGTCTGTGGGTCTCTATGTTAGAGTCTGTGGGTTCTATGTTAGAGTCTGTGGGTCTCTATGTTAGAGTCTGTGGGTCTCTATGTTAGAGTCTGTGGGTCTCTATGTTAGAGTCTGTGGGTCTCTATGTTAGAGTCTGTGGGTCTCTATGTTAGAGTCTGTGGGTCTCTATGTTAGAGTCTGTGGGTCTCTATGTTAGAGTCTATGGGTCTCTATGTTCGAGTCTATGGGTCTCTGTGTTAGAGTCTGTGGGTCTCTATGTTAGAGTCTGTGGGTCTCTATGTTAGTGTCTGTGGGTCTCTATGTTAGAGTCTATGGGTCTCTGTGTGAGTCTGTGGGTCTCTATGTTAGAGTCTGTGGGTCTCTATGTTAGTGTCTGTGGGTCTCTATGTTAGTGTCTGTGGGTCTCTATGTTAGAGTCTATGGGTCTCTGTGCGTGTGCGTTGAACTTCTTTACGTACGTAGCCAACCGCCCCAATCGGACGTGCGGTGGAAGGACATCAAACTAAGCACACAAAAAGCAGTTGTGGTGGTGGTGGTTGCAGTTGTTGTAATCATTGTGGTGGTGGTGGTTGTGGTAGTTGCGGTTGTAATCATTTTAGTGGTGGTTATGGTGGTTGCAGTTGTTGTAATCGTTGTGGTTGTTGTAATCGTTTCGGGTTGCGGTCGTTGTGGTATTTGTGGTGTTTGTTATCGTTGTGGTGGTTGTAATAGTTGTGGTTGTAATCGTTGTTATGGTTACGGTGGTTGTAATCATTGTGGTTGTGGTGGTTGTGGTTCCAATTATTGTGGTTGCGGTGGTTGTGGTTCTAATCATTCCGGTTGCGGTTCTTGTAATATTGTTTGCAGTGTTTGTAATCGTTGCGATGGTTGCAGTTGTTGTAATCGTTGTGGTTGTTATAATAGTTGTGGTGGTTGTAATCGTTGTGGTTGTGGTGGTTGTAATCGTTGTGGTTGTGGTGGTTGTAATTGTTGTGGTTGTTATAATAGTTGTGGTTGCGGTGGTTGTAATTGTTGTGGTTGTAGTGGTTGTAATTGTTGTGGTTGCGGTGGTTGTAATTGTTGTGGTTGTGGTGGTTGTAATCGGTGTGGTTGTGGTGGTTGTAATCGTTGTGGTTGTTATAATAGTTGTGGTTGCGGTGGTTGTAATAGTTGTGGTTGTAGTGGTTGTAATTGTTGTGGTTGCGGTGGTTGTAATCGTTGTGGTTGTTATAATAGTTGTGGTTGCGGTGGTTGTAATAGTTGTGGTTGTAGTGGTTGTAATCGTTGTGGTTGTAATCGTGGTTGCGGTGGTTGCAGTTGTAATTGTTGTGGTTGCGGTGGTTGCGGTTGCAGGAAAGCTCATGGTCTCTCTGCTCAACGGCCTCTCCGATCGCAATGACGTCGTGCGGAAATCGTACGCAATCGCCCTGGGTCACCTGGTGAAGGTGAACATCACCACCACCATCGTCACCATCAACGCCACCACCATCGTCACCACCAGCATCACCACCATCATCACCATCAACACCACCATCGTCACTATCAACGCCACCACCATCGTCACCACCACCATCACCACCATCATCACCATCAACACCACCATCGTCACCATCAACACCACCACCAACGTCACCATCAACACCGCCACCATCGTCACCATCAACACCACCACCATCATCACCATCATCACCACCATCATCACCATCAACACCACCACCATCGTCACCACCAGCATCACCACCATCATCACCATCAACACCACCATCGTCACCATCAACACCACCACCATCGTCACCATCAACACCACCACCATCGTCACCATCAACCCCACCATTACCACCATCACCACCATCAACACCACCATCATCGTCACCATCATCACTATCATCACCACCATCGTCACCATCAACACCACCACCATCGTTACCATCGTCACCACCACCACCATCACCACCATCATCACCATCATCACCACCATCGTCACCATCAACACCACCATCATCACCATCAACACCACCACCATCATCACCATCAACGTCACCATCGTCACCATCACCACCATCAACACCATCATCATCATCACCACCATCAACACCACCATCATCATCACCATCAACACCACCATCATCATAATCTCGACCTACCTCTTTCACAACCCCCCCCCCCCCGTATCCCCCGTACCCCCACCCCCCCCCCCCCCCCCGTGACCCACGTACCCAATGCGTTCTGTATCCCCCACACCCCCGTATTTCCATCGCCCTCCCCCCCCCCCCCCAACTCAGGTGTCAAAGGACAGCAGCGTGGAGAAGCTGTTGAAGAAACTCTCCGACTGGTACCTGGACAAAGACGGTAGTGCCGCCCGGCCTCGCGCATTCGCACTCCGCGTCCATTCTGAAGGATCTCGCGCTCGGCGCGTCTCAGCGACGCTTCCTGTGGCCGTGCTACAAGTCCACAGTCAGGGATTTCACGCGGCCCTGATTTGTGTTCTCCCCATCTCCCTCCCCGCCCCCCTCCTCTCTCTCTCTCTTCTCCTGCTCCCCTTCCACCACCTCCACCATTCTCCCCCTACCGCCACCTCCTTTCTCTGCCACCACCGCTTCCTCCATTCTCCCTCCACCACCGCCACCACCACCTGCTCCTCCACCACCACCACCACCATGTCCACCCTTCTGCCCCTACCACCACCACCACTTTCTCCATTCTCCCTCCACCACCACCTGCTCCTCCACCAACACCACCATGTCCACCCTTCTGCCCCTACCACCACCACCACTTTCTCCATTCTCCCTCCACCACCACCACCACCATGTCCACCCTTCTGCCCCTACCACCACCACCACTTCCTCCATTCTCCCTCCGCCACCACCACCTGCTCCTCCACCACCACCACCATGTCCACCCTTCTGCCCCTACCACCACCTCCACTTTCTCCATTCTCCCTCCACCATCACCACCACCATGTCCACCCTTCTGCCCCTACCACCACCTCCACTTTCTCCATTCTCCCTCCACCACCACCACCACCTGCTCCTCCACCAACACCACCATGTCCACCCTTCTGCCCCTACCACCACCTCCACTTTCTCCCTCCACCACCACCACCACCATGTCCACCCTTCTGCCCCTACCACCACCTCCACTTTCTCCATTCTCCCTCCACCACCACCACCACCATGTCCACCCTTCTGCCCCTACCACCACCACCACTTCCTCCATTCTCCCTCCGCCACCACCACCTGCTCCTCCACCACCACCACCATGTCCACCCTTCTCCACCCACCGCCACCGCCACCACCACCTCCTTTCTCTACCACCATCACTTCCTGCATTCTCCTTCCCTCCCATTACTCCCCCCCCTCCACCCTCCCTCCTCATCCCTCCTCCTCCCTCCACCCTCCCTCCCTCCGCCCTCCTCCCTCCTCCTCCCTCCACCCTCCCTCCACCCTCCCTCCGCCCTCCTCCCTCGGCCCTCCTCCCTCGGCCCTGCTCCCCGCACCCCCAGACGCGTCTCTGCGCTCTGCGTGTGCGCTCGTGGTCCACGCCGTGTCGCAGCACAGCCCCGACGCCCTCAAGCAGCACGCGGCGCTCGCACTGCCCCTCGCCTTCCTGGGCATGCACGAGGGCGGAGACGCCGACGCGGGCGGCGGCGGCGGCGGCGGCAACCCCAATGGCCGACTGTGGACTGACGTGTGGCAGGACAGCGTGCCAGGTGCCCGGCTCGCGATCGGCGTTGGCGAATTGAGCGTGTCGCGTAGGCGTGCGTGTGTGTGTGTGTGTGTCGTGTAGGTGTGCTTGTGTGTGTGTGTGTGTGTCATGTAGGTGTGTGTGTGTGTGTGTCACGTAGGTGTATGTGTGTGTGTGTCACGTAGGTGTATGTGTGTGTGTGTCACGTAGGTGTATGTGTGTGTGTGTCGTGTAGGCGTGCGTGTGTGTGTGTGTGTCACGTAGGTGTATGTGTGTGTGTGTCACGTAGGTGTATGTGTGTGTGTGTCGTGTAGGCGTGCGTGTGTGTGTGTGTGTCACGTAGGTGTATGTGTGTGTGTGTCACGTAGGTGTATGTGTGTGTGTGTCGTGTAGGCGTGCGTGTGTGTGTGTCACGTAGGTGTATGTGTGTGTGTGTCACGTAGGTGTATGTGTGTGTGTGTTGTGTAGGCGTGCGTGTGTGTGTGTCGTGTAGGCGTGTGTGTGTGTGTGTCGTGTAGGCGTGCGTGTGTGTGTGTGTGTCGTGTCGTGTAGGCGTGTGTGTGTGTGTCGTGTAGGCGTGTGTGTGTGTCGTGTGTGTCGTGTAGGCGTGTGTGTGTGTGTCGTGTAGGCGTGTGTGTGTGTCGTGTGTGTCGTGTAGGCGTGTGTGTGCGTGTGTGTGTCGTGTAGGTGTGTGTGTGTGTGTGTCGTGTAGGTGTGTGTGTGTGTGTGTCGTGTAGGTGTGTGTGTGTGTCGTGTAGGTGTGTGTGTGTGTCGCGTAGGCGTGTAGGCGTGTGTGTGTGTGTGTCGTGTAGGCGTGTGTGTGTGTGTGTCGTGTAGGCGTGTGTGTGTGTCGTGTAGGCGTGTGTGTGTGTGTCGTGTAGGCGTGTGTGTGTGTGTGTCGTGTAGGCGTGTGTGTGTGTCGTGTAGGCGTGTGTGTGTGTGTCGTGTAGGCGTGCGTGTGTGTGTCGTGTAGGCGTGCGTGTGTGTGTGTCGTGTAGCCGTGTGTGTGTGTGTCGTGTAGGCGTGCGTGTGTGCGGGGAGCGGTAGTGTAGCGGTTAGCGCTACGCTGCCCTACGAACCCGGCGACTCCTCTCCCGCATCATCTCCCCATCCCCCTCTCCCTTGGTCTCCTCCTCTTCCTCCCTCCCTCCCTCCTCCTCCCCCCCGCCCTGTCGGAGCAGGCAGCTCGGGTGGCGTGCGCCTCTACCTGCCGGAGCTGGTGGGCGTGTGCCGCGTGGCACTGCACTCGCCGTCCTGGCAGCTCAAGGCCCAGGGGGCGGCGGCGCTGGCGGCCGTCGCGCGGCTCCACGCGCCGAGCCTCGGCAACCCCTTCCTGGGCCTCGTGCTCGAGGCCCTGCTGCAGGGCCTGCAGGGCCGCACCTGGGCCGGCAAGGTGAGGGCCCCCCTTGGCGAGCGCGGCCCCCTGGGGTAGTGGGTGGCAGGGGGGGGGGCGGGGGGCGGTTCGTGCCAAGCGCCCCGCCCCCACCTCCACGACACGCCCCACCACCACGCCCCACCCCGCCCCACGCCCCACCCCGCCCCACCCCCCACCCTGCCCCCACTCCACGCCCCGCCCCCCACCCCACCCCAACCCCACCCCACCCTCACCCCCTACCCCACCCCACCCCAACCCCTCCCCACCCCCACCCCCCACCCCACCCCCCACCCCCCACTCTGCCCCCACTCCACACCCCGCCCCCAACCCCACCCCACCCTCACCCCCTACCCCACCCCACCCCAACCCCTCCCCACCCCCACCCCACCCACCCACCCCCCCGCAGAGTTGGGGTTGGGTGGTTCACACCAGGGACGCTCGCTGGCGGTGAAGGGGGGGGCCCCGGTTGCCCCCGAAATCCGTCGCCCGTTCGGCTTGATAGGCCGGGCTGCGCGTCGCGTTATTGACAAACACCTCGGGTTGGGGGGGGGTCTTTGGTTTTTGGTGATTGTCTGCGCGTTAAAACGCCTCCCGATTCCTCCACCCCCCCCCCCACTTACGTGGAGAACCGTCGGCGCGCTGTTGCCGGACTTTGTGTGCTTGCAGCAGCAACGCCAATCTGGCCGTCGCCTGACGAGGCTGGTTGTTGTTGTTGTTGTTGTAATTGCCGGCGAAGCGTCACGGCTGCTCGAATTGTAAGTGAGTGTGGGTTTACTCTGCAGCGCACACACGCACGCACGCGGTGTGCGTGTGTGTGTGTGTGCTGCACTGGTAACGAATCGCCACGTGCTGTCTGCGTGACAAAATCCTACTGGCTGGCCCGCGTCGGGTGGTGGCGGGTTTAACGACGCATTTTAATATCTACGCGACCTAACCCCAAAAGATCCTCTGTCATGGATAATACCGGAACACGAAAGCCTCCTCCGCGTTGAACAACAACAACAACAACAAAAAGCCTCCGATCAGCACGGTTGGCTACGCACGGCGAGAAAGAAGCTCAAGGTACGCCTCGCGATGGATTCAACGGACGACCCACCGCCCCCATCCCCCCCCCCCTCACTCGCTTGCCTGTGTCCCCAACAGGAGGAGCTGCTCAAGGCGATAGCCGGAGTGGTCGCTGCGAGCAGGTGAGGCGGAGGAGGAGGAGTAGGAGGGACCTCCCGCGTCTCGCGATCGTTTCGCGACTTCCTCCGGCGACGCTCGGTCCTCGCTGTAGTTTGTGTACCCTGATTGCGTGTCACGTGTCACGGTAGACCTGCGGCTCCCCCTCTCCTCCGCCCCCCCCTGCCCCCCCCCCGCCCCCCTGCTTGATTCGTGGGGGGGTTGGCTACGATCCGATTTTCTGCTCCATTATTCGTCAGTGGCGGGGGGTGGGGGGGAAGAGGAAAAACATTCCGTGACGATTCATTGCATTGCCGGAGGGGGGGAGGGTCAATGGTTAGAATTCGAGAATGTTGTTGTCCGTCCGGAGGTTCATGGCGACCGGGGGGGGGTTTCTGCGAGTTTCCCGAACCGCGTCCGTCCGGTGCTCGCCCGGCTACGCAACTGGGCTCCCGATTGTCGGATGAATGCGTCGCGAGGTCGCACTCGTTTACACACGCGGAGTGCTTTGCCGCCAACGAGCCGCGAGACCTTGCTCGTCCTGTCAAGACGGCACGCACGATGGTCCACGTGAACTTACGGTCATCCTCGCAGGTGGCGGCCTTTGGCTCGGCCATCGAACGGATTTGGCTTCCGCTGCCATCTGGAACGCCTTTCTGATATTCGGAAGCGGCTGGGGCCATGTGCGCTTTTAAATCGTCATCTACATCGAAAACTCATTCCTTTAGAACTTCCTTTTGTGTTTAGTTTGTTGTTCATCCCCCCCCCCGCCCCGCCCGCGCGCCTCTGATGACCGTGGTTGTCTACGTGCGGTGCGACAGAGTTTCAACATGCAGTAGAACCTTGGATTGCGAGTATAATTCGTTCCGGAAACGTGTTTGTAATCCAAAGCACTCGTATATCAGTTGTGATCACGTGACGCTCGGCAGTACAAAGCGTGTATACGTACTACTACTCGTATTGCAAGACCCTCGCTCGTTTATCAAATTAATATTTATTTCATAATTTTTGCTCGTCTTGCAAAAACACTCGCAGACCAAGTTACTCGCAGTCCAAGGTTTTACTGTAGTTACAAGTTTACTAAGTACCCAACCACCCCACCGCCCGCCCGCCCTCCCAACACCTGGCAGTGATGAGCTGAAGGAGACACACCCCGACCAGCCGAGTCTGGAGGTCGTGTTGGATTCCCTGTTCAAGGAGGCTCGCAAAGACAACGTGGCATACAGGACGGCCGCCCTGGCCTGCCTGTCGGACGTGCTGCAGTCCACGAGGGAGGATCGCTTCGCCGAGCTCGCCCAGATCGTCTTCCCGGTGCTCGAGAAGGTGCGTCCATCGCCTCGACCACCCTTCCCGTCTGCCCCTCCCGTCCCTTCACCTAACACCGCGTCAAATGTTTTACCAGGTGAGCCCCCCACTGAGCCATGCAGCTCTTTTTCAGAAGCGACCTGGCACACAAATGGTAGCTCATCGAAGTGGCTTAGCGCCGTGTGGGAATTTACAGCGGCCAAACAATCCGTGAACGCCGTGTGGTGTCACTTCTAAACGTGGAGGGGAAAAACAACGGAGGAACCGGATGAAAAAATCCACGCGACCACCACGAGGAGAGAGAGAGACACACCGCAAACTCCAAATATACAGCAGCAGCAGGCGTAGTCAGGGTCGGGATCGAGCCTAAGACCTCCTGCATACCAGGCGAGGGAGATAACATCTTGCACCACCCCTGGTTTCCAGGCATGCGCGGGCGAGAACGTGATCTCGACGGAGGCGGAAGACGACGAGAAATCTGACAAGGACAGGCAGCAGGAGCTCGTGTCGGCCATGTTCCAGAGCCTGGGCAAGGCCTGGCCCGACAACCCCACGACTCAAGGTACAGTGACCCCTAGAGTGACTCAAGGTGCAGTGACCCCTAGGGTGACTCAAGGTGCAGTGACCCCTAGGGTGACTCAAGGTGCAGTGAACCCTAGGGTGACTCAAGGTGCAGTGACCCTTAGAGTGATTCAAGGTTACAGTGACCCCTAGGGTGACTCAAGGTGCAGTGACCCCTAGGGTGACTCAAGGTGCAGTGACCCCTAGAGTGACTCAAGGTGCAGTGACCCCTAGGGTGACTCAAGGTGCAGTGACCCCTAGGGTGACTCAAGGTGCAGTGACCCCTAGAGTGACTCAAGGTGCAGTGACCCCTAAGATAACTCAAGGTGCAGTGACCCCTAGGGTGACTCAAGGTGCAGTGACCCCTAGAGTGACTCAAGGTGCAGTGACCCCTAGGGTGACTCAAGGTGCAGTGACCCCTAGGGTGACTCAAGGTGCAGTCACCCCTAGAGTGACTCAAGGTGCAGTGACCCCTAGGGTGACTCAAGGTGCAGTGACCGCTAGGGTGACTCAAGGTGCAGTGACCCCTAGGGTGACTCAAGGTACAGTGACCCCTAGGGTGACTCAAGGTACAGTGACCCCTAGGGTGACTCAAGGTACAGTGACCCCTAGGGTGACTCAAGGTGCAGTGACCCCTAGGGTGACTCAAGGTGCAGTGACCCCTAGGGTGACTCAAGGTGCAGTGACCCCTAGGGTGACTCAAGGTGCAGTGACCCCTAGGGTGACTCAAGGTACAGTGACCCCTAGGGTGACTCAAGGTACAGTGACCCCTAGGGTGATTCAAGGTACAGTGACCCCTAAGATAACTCAAGGTGCAGTGACCCCTAGGGTGACTCAAGGTGCAGTGACCCCTAGGGTGACTCAAGGTGCAGTCACCCCTAGAGTGACTCAAGGTGCAGTGACCCCTAGGGTGACTCAAGGTGCAGTGACCCCTAGAGTGACTCAAGGTGCAGTGACCCCTAGGGTGACTCAAGGTGCAGTGACCCCTAGGGTGACTCAAGGTGCAGTGACCCCTAGGGTGACTCAAGGTGCAGTGACCCCTAGGGTGATGCAAGGTGCAGTGACCCCTAGGGTGACTCAAGGTGCAGTGACCCCTAGAGTGACTCAAGGTGCAGTGACCCCTAGGGTGACTCAAGGTGCAGTGACCCCTAGGGTGACGCAAGGTGCAGTGACCCCTAGGGTGACTCAAGGTACAGTGACCCCTAGGGTGACTCAAGGTACAGTGACCCCTAGGGTGACTCAAGGTACAGTGACCCCTAGAGTGACTCAAGGTGCAGTGACCCCTAGGGTGACGCAAGGTGCAGTGACCCCTAGGGTGACTCAAGGTGCAGTGACCCCTAGGGTGACTCAAGGTGCAGTGACCCCTAGGGTGACTCAAGGTGCAGTGACCCCTAGAGTGACTCAAGGTGCAGTGACCCCTAGGGTGACTCAAGGTGCAGTGACCCCTAGAGTGACTCAAGGTGCAGTGACCCCTAGGGTGACTCAAGGTGCAGTGACCCCTAGGGTGACTCAAGGTGCAGGGACCCCTAGGGTGACTCAAGGTGCAGTGACCCCTAGGGTGACTCAAGCTGCAGTGACCCCTAGAGTGCAGTGTCCCCTAGGGTGACTCAAGGTGCAGTGACCCCTAGGGTGACTCAAGGTGCAGTGACCCCTAGGGTGACTCAAGGTACAGTGACCCCTAGGGTGACTCAAGGTGCAGTGTCCCCTAGGGTGACTCAAGGTACAGTGACCCCTAGGGTGACTCAAGGTGCAGTGACCCCTAGGGTGACTCAAGGTACAGTGACCCCTAGGGTGACTCAAGGTACAGTGACCCCTAGGGTGACTCAAGGTACAGTGACCCCTAGGGTGACTCAATGTGCAGTGACCCCTAGGGTGACTCAAGGTACAGTGACCCCTAGAGTGACTCAAGGTGCAGTGACCCCTAGGGTGACTCAAGGTGCAGTGTCCCCTAGGGTGACTCAAGGTGCAGTGACCCCTAGGGTGACTCAAGGTGCAGTGACCCCTAGGGTGACTCAAGGTGCAGTGACCCCTAGGGTGACTCAAGGTACAGTGACCCCTAGGGTGACTCAAGGTACAGTGACCCCTAGGGTGACTCAAGGTACAGTGACCCCCAGGGTGACTCAAGGTACAGTGACCCCTAGGGTGACTCAAGGTACAGTGACCCCTAGGGTGACTCAAGGTGCAGTGACCCCTAGGGTGACTCAAGGTGCAGTGACCCCTAGGGTGACTCAAGGTGCAGTGACCCCTAGGGTGACTCAAGGTGCAGTGACCCCTAGGGTGACTCAAGGTGCAGTGACCCCTGGGGTGACTCAAGGTGCAGTGACCCCTAGGGTGACTCAAGGTGCAGTGACCCCTAGGGTGACTCAAGGTGCAGTGTCCCCTAGGGTGACTCAAGGTGCAGTGACCCCTAGGATGACTCAAGGTGCAGTGACCCCTAGGGTGATTCACGGTGCAGTGACCCCTAGGGTGACTCAAGGTGCAGTGATCCCTAAGGTAACTCAAGGTGCAGTGACCCCTAGGGTGACTCAATGTGCAGTGACCCCTAGGGTGACTCACGGTGCAGTGACCCCTAGGGTGACTCAAGGTGCAGTGACTCCTAGGGTGACTCAAGGTGCAGTGACCCCTAGAGTGACTCAAGGTGCAGTGACCCCTATGGTGACTCAATGTGCAGTGACCCCTAAGGTAACTCAAGGTGCAGTGACCCCTAGGGTGACTCAGTGTGCAGTGACCCCTAGGGTGACTCAAGGTACAGTGACCCCTAGGGTGACTCAAGGTGCAGTGACCCCTAGGGTGACTCAAGGTGCAGTGACCCCTAGGGTGACTCAAGGTGCAGTGACCCCTAGGGTGACTCAAGGTGCAGTGACCCCTAGGGTGACTCAAGGTGCAGTGACCCCTAGGGTGACTCAAGGTACAATGATCTCAACCTGTCACCGGGTGTGACCCGGGCCGGCGTTGATTTGGGCACCGGACAATCAGAATCTTTATTTAGACTCGAGGAGGAATCCGATGAGCTATGAAGCTCTTTTGTTTCACAGATGTCCAGTAGGGCTGCGGGTCAGCATTGTACTACAGTTCTTAGGGCGTTGCGGTAACCACTACGCTCTCCGCTCCCCCACACGATCATACAAAGACACTGGCACGCACATGGACGCCCACCCCCCTCGTGGCGCCGTGCCGGCCTTCATAGGCGCCGCCACTTGCAAAACAGCACTTGCCCCAACAGTCTGTCGAGGCTATACGGGGGGGGGGGATCTTTGTCTTTCTGCCAATGTCTTGTCTTTGTGTCTTGTCTTTGTGTCTGCACGTGTCTGTGTGTGTGCACAGGAAGGTTTCGTGTTGATGTGTGCAAGTTCATGTGCAGCAAGGTGAAGCTGAGCCACTGGAAGCTTCAGGTGGTGGTGCTGCAGGCGATGAAGAAGTACACGGAGAGGTAAAAAATCCTCTCGGTCGTCGTCGTCAGCAGCAGCCATGGTCAATCCGCCGGTGGATGAAATCCTAGCCCAGACGTCGCCATCTTGTTATTGTTATTGACACCTTTGTAGGCGCCGTGTTTGTGCTTGTTGTCCGCGTTTTTAACTCGTTCGCCGTGTGAAATTGGCATAGACGCACACAAATAGACAAACGTTACATGTCCCGTAATAAGTTACCGTGTCTCCTGTACCGTACTTACCACTCCAATCTCGAAGACTCTGCATGGGGTGATGATGGGGGGGGGGGGGGGTGGTGCAGAATTGGGAGGTGGTTTATGAGCCCTCAACGGGCACCACAACGCGGCCATTTCAGATGTGCTCCTGGGGCCGTCTGGAACGCTCTTTCTTCCGATATCAAGAAGCCACTGCAGCTATGCACTTTTAAATTTAAATACACCTTTCGTGCGTTTAGTTTGTTGTCCTTCCCCCGCACCTCCGATGAGTGCGGTTTGCTACGTACGGTGCGAAAGAAGTTCAACGCGAGTGCATCTCGCGGTTCTGCGATGTAATAAATCCAACTGGCGCCCGTGCACGCACTCACGTCATCTGCTCCATCTCCACGGCGGACGAAAAAACCTCCCGCACTCGATTCCATTTCTTGGCTGCCACTCCAGAATCAGAATCTTGATTGAAGAGTGTAAGGGATCCGATGGGCCATGAGGCTCTTCAACAGAGATGTCCAGTCGGAGCACGGGGTCAGAAACAGCTACGCCACTGCTCCCCATGACAACGCACGGATCTGATGCACCCCCTTCCCACTCTCTCCCCCCACTTCCCCCCCCACTACCCCCCCACTCCCCTCCCCATCCCCTCCCCCAGCCCCCCCACTCTCCTCTCCCGCCCTCTCTCGCCCCCCACTCCGCCCCCCCCTCCCCCCCCCCCCACTCCCCCCCTCTCCCCCCCCTCTCGCCCCCCCACTCCCCCTTCCCACTCTCTCCCCCCCCACTTCCCCCTGACCCCCCTCCCCACTCCCCTCCCCTCTCCCCCCCACTCCTCCCACCTCCCACAACTCCCCCTCTCCCCGCTCTGGCCCCCCCACTCCCCCTCTCGCCCCCCACTCCCCTCCCCTCTCCCCCCCACTCCCCCTCTCGCCCCCCACTCCCCCACCCCCTGCATGTCCCCTTGCCGTGTGGACATCTGTGAAGAAGAGCTTTACAGCTCATTGGATTCCCTCCACTATATATATAAAAAAAACATTGCGACTCTGAAACCAATTATTTTTTTATTCAAATTTTCTGTCTTCTTTGGTTCTTTCGGTAAAGTCACGTGACTTTACCGAAAGAACCAAAGACGATGAATCCTTGCAGTCACGAAAGCTTTAAATCGAAATCTAATTTTCTGATTTCCGTGTGCTGCCGTGCGTGCAGGCTGTCCCTGCTGAGTTCGGAGCACAAGGACGCCGAGGCGCTGACCGAGATCCTTCAGCAGATGCTGCCTGCCCTCACCGTACCCTTAGGTGTGTGATGCCTTGCACACGTTGCGGCCGTACAAACATCGCGCCCCTTGGCTTTGACATCCCTCCTCCCTCCTGCCTCCTCCTCCTCCTCCTGCCCCCTCCCCCCTCCTCAAAGACACCGGGTGGTGTAACCATCATCAACCGCGTCAGGACATCATCAACTGCAGGCCGACGCGATCCACAGCTGTGCGGTTGTGGCGATGCGACCCAAACTATGGACCATGTCGTAAATTCATAGAGGCAACGTAGAGATGTATGGAGACGCGCAGAGACGCACAGAGACACACCGAGATACTCGCAGAGATGCATAGAGACTCATTGATATACGGAGATGCATTAAAGCTGATTATCAGCGGTGCGATTGTGGTCATATGTCCCAACACTGTGGATCATGTAGTAAATCGATAGACGCATAGCGATGTAGAGAGACGCACAGAAATACTGACAGATATACATAGAGATAAATTAAAGATAATTATCAACAGTGTGATTGTGTATTCTTGGTTCTTTCGGTAAAGTAACGTAGAAGGGAAACAATAAAATAATTTAAAAAATAACCGCCACTTTTTTCAAATTTTCTTGTTGTGGTTTTCACACCTGATGATGATTACTTGTGTTGCAGTCGAAACGTCGTGAGTATTTTATTTTTTATATTTTTATTATTTTATTGTTTCCCTTCTACGTGACTTCACCGAAAGAACCAAGAATATGAATCCCTGCAGTCACGAAAGCTTTAAATCAAAATTTAGTGTGATTGTGGTCATATGTCCCAACACTGTGGACCACCTAGTAAACCCACTGTGGCCTGAACAACAGAGGAGGAGGATCAGCAATACTCCACGATCTCTCTCTCTCTCTCCTGAAGCCCCCTCTCGTCTTGGCTTAGCTTAGACCTCGCCACTGAGAGGGGAAAAGGATGCGGATAATGCGAAACACTTCGATGCAAATATCTGCAGATTAGTTTTGTTTACCTGCGTAGGGTGAGGGTGAAGACGTGGAATGCTCCGTCTTGTTTTTATCGTTTGCATCCTGCGAGTGGTCGGGTATGCTCGCCGATGTGTTTTGAATATTTGTTTGATGCTGGAGGAACCCGATGAGCGATGAAGCTCTTTTTCACAGATGTCCAGTAAACTATAAACTATTTTTTTGTATTTTATTTTACCAAATAAGGCCCACTGAGCTATGTAGCTTTTTTTCAGAAGTGACCCGGCCATCGCAAGTGACAGCTCAACGAGAAGTGGCTTATCACGTGTGGGAATTTATTCTAAATGTGATCCTGATGAGGCTGGTTGTTGTAATTACCGGCGAAACGTCACGGCTGCTCGAGTTGTCAATGAGCGTGGGTTTTCTCTCCCCGACACACAACCGGTGCGTGTGCCGAACTGGTAACGAATCGTCCACGTTCTGTTTACGTGACAAACCTTGCAAAGTTGGCCGTGCCGGGCGGTGGCGGGTTTAACGACGCATTCATGTTACACGCGATGCAACCCAACAAACAAAAAAAAAACCACTCCATTCTCGAGGGCACATCGCAAACCGCTAAAGCAACCAATCGCGCGTCCGGCAAGGTTGGTCGCGAACGCCCAAACGTCGTGACATCGAACGGACTGGTGTCGTCGTGTTCTCCATTTGTTCGCAGAAAACAAGAGCTATTCCTCCGTCAGGAGCGAAGCTCTCGACGTTTTGGAAATCGTCTTGACCAAACTGAAAGGTGAGAGCCCCCCCCCCTTTTTTTAAAAAATAATAATAATTTGTATTATTTTTTTTTTATCGAGCGAGCGAGCCCAACCAAACCTGTTGACGGGTTCCGCCCGTCGCCGGCGATGCCGGCACCTCCCCTCGCCCATCGCTGTCCTCCTTCCGCCAGACGGTGCCGGGGACGCACCGGGGGGAGGGGGAGGGGCGGCTAATGCAAGATACGACTGTGGGCTCCCCTCTCCTCCTCCTCCTCCATCATCCCCTTCCTCCCGAATCACTTTTACCGAAATAGCTACGCATGTTTTTAACCCGTCCGCAATCATATGTTGGGCCCTAACTATATAATATGAAAATGTATATAAATGATACGAATATATAAATCATATTTACATATATTAATATTGAATATTGTTATATACAGGGTGCTTAAAAATATGGTAACACTTATATGGGACTATCGTTTTTAATGGAAAAGAACGGATGGTACACTGTAACATGATAACAAATGTATGTTAGTAGCTTCAAAAAGTCCAACGAGTATCCCGCGGGTCTCTCGGTAAAGTCACGCCGATAGGTTTCAAAGAAAGTAACAAAAAAACTACGACGTTTCGATCGCTTGTGTTGCGGTCGTAGTTATTTTCTTTGAACTTATCTACGTGACTTTACCGAAAAAAACCCAAAGAATACGAATTCCTGCAGTCACGAAAGCTTTAAGTCAATTAGTTGCTAGTTCGGCACACACCGGAGTCTCCGTTTGTTCGCCAGCGTTGTCAACGCAATTGCCTGGAATCTTCTTCTCCAGGTGGTCTCCAGAGCCAGGGGGCAGCAGATTGCTTGTGGCGTTGTTGTAAATCGTCAGAAATGTTAAAACATAGTTTTGAAGCATTCCCGTACTGTATGAATAATATTGACATTATTTTAGATGCTAGTTTTAGTTGCGACCGTCTGTTGGGTTTTAGAGGAAGACAATCCTCACCGCAGTGACGGTGTTCGTACAAAAAAGTATATATATTTAAAGGTACATTGCTCGCAATGAAGTTATCCGCGCGTCTTACTTTCATGGCCGCCCCATCGATCTGGGATTTCCTCAAGGGGGGCGGGGGGGGGGGTGTGTGGATCGCGCAACTTCATGCTTCTCTATTCACATGATAGCCAGATGCGCTAATCGGGCCTGGTCCACGGTGTACCGCAGGTACGTTGTTCATGAATACTTAAAACAGATGTTGGAAGAAAAAAAAGTTTCACTTGAATAACGCAACCAATAATAATTGGTATCCATTGTAATTCATATGACGACGTTAACCCCCCCCCCCCCCCCACCACCTTTCCTTCTTGTCTTCTCCACAACTCTGTGGTTGTCGCCTGATGAAGCTGCGTGTTGTTGTTGTTGTTGTCAATGTTGTTCTGTTTACTCTTGAACGCACAAGCGGTTAGTGCTGAACTAGTAACGTATTGGCACGTTCTGTTTACCTGATCAACCCTTACCAATTGGCTGCGCCGGGTGGTGGTGATGGCGGGATTAACGACACATTTGTATTTCGCGCGATCTAACCCACGAACGACAACAACAACAACAAAAAACATCCATCTTCTTTGGTTCTTTCGGTAAAGTCACGTAGAATGAGAATAAAATAATAAATTGATAATTGATAAAATATTGTGTTATCTTATTTTATCAATTTATTATTTTATTCTCATTCTACGTGACTTTACCGAAAGAGCCAAAGAAGATGAATCCTTGCAGTCACGAAAGCTTTAAATCGAAAAAAAAACATCCACTGTGGATAATTTTGGTCGCGAAAGCGTACTGCACGTTAAAACCGCTCTTGGTTGTTTTTCTTTTCCCGTTCTAATTCGAGCACCGCCGTTTCCCCTTTGAGGGTTCCTTCTCCTAACCACTGCACCACCACCACCACCACCACCACCCCACCCCTGTGCCGTCCCCCAGCAACCGGGCAAGGTGATGCGCTGAAGCCGCACGAGCGGCAGGTGCTGGCCGCCTCGCTTGTCGCCATGGAAACGGACAAACTGCCGGCGCTGAAGGACCGGGCGGCCTCCCTGCTGCTCGGGATGCAGGGGATTTGACGGGTGACGGCATGGAAGGCGGCGGTGGCGTTCGCGATTCGATCGACTGGTGAGGGTGGGGCAGGGTGGGAAGAAGGAGGCGGGTGGACTGGGTGGTGGTGGTAGTGGTGGTGGTGGTGGGGGGGGGGCGGTTGGGGTTAACTATCGGACTTTGAGACGCAAGGAGGAGGCAAGGAGGGGTGAGAGCGGTCGAGGAAGGGCGGGGAGGGGGGGGGTGGGGGAGGTCGATGCGGCGATGGCACAATTGAGGAGGAAGGAGATGCGCGCAGTGCCCTGTCCGATGAGAGGGCGCTCTCGCCTAGGGGGGCGGTAGCGCACCGCGTTGGTGGCCTGGTGTCTCACGAGGTCTCTCCGGGCCGGGTGGACAACGTGCGGTTTTGAGAACGGATTTTAAATCTGCGATTCATTCGCAAATTATTCGACATTTGGGCAGCCTTCGCTGATTCACTGCTTGCGACGGACGCCCCTTTCCCTATGCCGTGCGCGGCCATTGGGGTCCTCTTGACCGTACTTCACCATACTAGGGTCCGCGCGAGGTTGGAGGAGCAAGGGCGGTGTTGTGGGTTAGACCCGCGACCAGTTTAGAGACCGTTTCGCTCCACAGCTGTTCGTCACGACCGGGAATTGAACTGGGGTCGCCGGGGTTCATGGCGCATTTGCGTAAACCGAGGGCCCCGTTTGTGACAGGATACTCGTTAATAAGTCGACGTGTGGAACTAGCGTTCATTACAAACTCGAAGTTGTTTTCTTCCGTAGAGAAGAACCCGCGTCGTGTTACCCGTACGCTTGTGCCGAGCCAATGTCCCCCCGGCTACGTCTATGTACGTACATGTAACGTTGAACTTCTTTCGCGCCGTACGTAGCCGACCGTGCTGATCGGAGGTGCGGGAAAAGTCAGAAGTGCTGCAGCGTGCCCCTGCACCCGAGAGACACCGTTACGAACCAAAGCAATCTGTGGTGCAGGTTTCACTCGCTCGTCTGTGCGGTCGTAGTTTTAGTAGGGATAGTAGTAGGAGCAGCAGTAGGAGTAGTCGTAGGAGCAGTAGTAGTAGGAGCAGTAGTAGTTGTAGGAGCAGTAGTAATTGTAGGAGTAGTAGTTGTAGTAGGAGCAATAGTAGTTGTAGTAGGAGCAGTAGTAGGAGTAGTCGTAGGAGCAGAAGTAGTAGGAGCAGTAGTAGTTGTAGTAGTAGTAGGAGGAGTAGTAGTTGTAGTAGGAGCAGTAGTAGTTGTAGGAACAGTAGTAGGAGTAGTCGTAGGAGCAGTAGTAGTAGGAGCAGTAGTAGTTGTAGTAGGAGCAGTAGTAGTTGTAGAAACAGTAGTAGTTGTAGTAGGAGCAGTAGTAGTTGTAGGAGCAGTAGTAATTGTAGGAGTAGTAGTTGTAGTAGGAGCAATAGTAGTTGTAGTAGGAGCAATAGTAGTTGTAGTAGGAGCAGCAGTAGGAGTAGTCGTAGGAGCAGTAGTAGTAGGAGCAATAGTAGTTGTAGGAGCAGTAGTAAATTGTAGGAGTAGTAGTTGTAGTAGAAGCAGTAGTAGTTGTAGTAGGAGCAGTAGTAGGAGTAGTCGTAGGAGCAGTAGTAGTTGTAGGAGTAGTAGTAGTTGTAGGAGTAGTAGTAGTTGTAGGAGCAGTAGTAATTGTAGGAGTAGTAGTTGTAGTAGGAGCAGTAGTAGGAACAGTAGTAGGAGTAGTTGTAGGAGCAGTAGTAGTTGTAGGAGTAGTAGTTGTAGTAGGAGCAGTATTAGTAGGAGCAGTAGTAGTAGCAGTAGTAGTGGTAGATGTTTAAAAAAAAAGGGGCACGCACAAAGCGAAATTGCACGAGGAGACAGCTGCCTGCCGAGTAGCGCGCACAGTACACACACGGTAGGAGTACACACACGGTAGGAGTACACACAGTCTAGTACGGCACACACACACACACACAATGTTGTCCCACGTCCGACCGCATAGCCGCGCGTGAGTTGAATTGAGGCCGCGTGGCGTCGCGAACATTGGGGTAGGAGCAGGTAAGCGCGAAGTCGCACAAACACGAACCCGCGCAGAGCGAGGGGAAACCTGCCGCATGGTCACACGTGTGTCACTGTGCGATAGCGGTCAGGGGTCCCAACGGGCACGAGGTACGCGACAAGGATGACGTCCGCTGGACCGTTCAAATTGAAGGCAATCCGTGCTCCCCGCTGTTCCGCGCCCGACCCCCACAGTTGGCCACGTGGAATTTTAGTGGAAGGGCGAAACTCTGCCGCTGCTCATTCCGCCTCCACCAAAATCTGACAGGTTTTGGGGGGGGGGGGGGGCTGGCTATAGCCCCCCCCCCTCCCAAACCTCTTCCTCGCTCTCTCGCTCGTTCGTTCGTTAAATGGGGGTGGATGTGGGCACCCTAGCAGCAAACGCTTTCAAATGGGCGGGGGGGGGGTGGTTTTTGGATCGGGCTTTCAGATAGTGGTGGGCGGGCAGCCACACATAGAGACAAAGATTCCCCCCCCCCCCCCCCCGTGTAGCCTTAACTGACTGTTGGGGCAAGTGCCATACCATGTCAACCCATACGGTTTACCGCGTATTCTTGTACAGGGAAATTGAGTTTTCAGGTCTGTACGGCCGGCGTACAGACCTGACATGAAAAAAAATGTTCCGTGTTTCTCCCCTTGTGATGGCACTTTGTCGGATGAACGTTGAGATTTGTAAGGGGCGCGGGGTGACCAGTAAGGTCTGAATTCGGTCTGTAATAAGGTCGGGCGCTGGTAAGGAGTTGACGGGTGTGCAAGCGCTGTCGGCGAGTATCACCTGTGAAGGCTGGCACTGTGGCACACGAGAAAGGGGGTGGGTGGCCAGCACCAAGCCCCGACCGCCTGCGTCTCCCCGATGTTTTTACACACCGCGCCAGGGGACTCGTTTGACGCCGAGTCGACCTAGGCGAGGCCCCAGGACCGGTTCAGATTACCGTCGCGGGTGTCGGTGGCCGTGAGCGGGAATCGAAGTCGGGGCCGTAGCCGGGTTCGTAGCGCGGTGTCGCGCTGACCGCTCTGCACCACCGCTCCGCTCCATCGCCGCAGCCACGCGTTAACACGATCACCAACGACAACAACGTCGGGGCTCAGCCGTACCTGAGAATGCTAAATGATGGACGCGCCGTTGACCAAATTTCAGCCGGCTGGAGGGCTTCGAGTTTGAAACGACACACGAGGAAAATGTGTGACAAAGCTGCACAAGCCGTTTGCGCGTATGCAAAAAGTTAAATTTAAAAAAATAGCGTGTTCCTCAAGAAGCGCTTTGTGGGTCCTCGGTGTCCCGGGGTGACCATCGAAATAATAACGAGCAAAATGTGACCGGCGGCGGCGGTGATGCAGCGGATAACCGTGGACCCGTTTCATCCTCGCTGGGACTCATCGGCACGGCATATGTTCACTTGCTGCTCTCAGGCACCACGGTCGCGAGACCTTGACTACCTTGCCTGGTATGCAGAAGGTCGTGGGTTCGATGCCGACCCTGACGCCTGCGGTGTCTCTCTCTCCCCGCGGTCGCGTGGATTTTTCTCCGGGCCCTCCGGTTTTTTTCCCTCCACGTTTAGAATCGACGTCACGCGTTTTAGAGTATTTGGCTACCGCTAGAAATTTCCACGTTAAAAGCCACTTTTCGCTGAGCTATCATTTGAAGATAGCCAGGTCGCTTCTGAAAAAAAAGATAGCTCTCAGTGGGGCCTTACCTGATAAAGTAACTGAGATAGTTTGTTTGGTCAAATCGAGGTGGCCACTTGTCTATCCCTGCTGCGGCTGTGAAGTCGGTCAGATTTGCTCAAATCTATTGTCACGGTGACCTAGGGCAAGACGGCCACAATGGACTTCAGGAAACGCCGACGGCTTTTGTTTCAATGCACCGGGCTCTGGACACCGTTTGCGTGTTTGCGTGTCTGGCCGTGCAGGGTAGGTCAGCGGCCCCCGCGGTTGTGCTGCCTCCGTCGCAAGATACATTTGGGTTCGATTCCCAACCGCGGGGCGGTTTTTTTGCAGAGTTTGGAGGTTCTCCCCCCACCTGTGTCTCTGCATGGGTTTCCTCCAGGGTTCTTCTTGAGTGTTTCTCCCATGGCCAAAAGCACGTACGATGTCACTGGTGGTGTTGGCTGAACGCCCCAATGCAAGGAAACCCTACTGACGAAGTCTCTTGGCGGCGCAGCGGGGCTTACCTGGATTCAAAATAAAGCTGTTCGTTATTCGTACCCGGTTGGTGTAGCTCCACTCGCTTGCAAGTGATGGATAAATACCGTCTGCGGGACATTCCTTCAAGTGGGGAGGTTGCCACGTGTGCCCTGTGCCCCATACGTTGCTCACCACTAATGTCATGAGTTCGCCTGGCTGCTGCTGCTGCCCCCCCCCCCCACCACCACCAGCATTCGTTCGATAAATAACCACTCTTGAAATTGAAAGCAAAAAAAATTGAGGACTCGGGAATTGTGTCGCGCCATTAACTCGGGGGGCTGGCAAAGCAAAGGAATCGTGAGCGTCACGGAGGCTCTTGTGATCTGAGAACGTTGAACATCCGACAAGGCGCCGACATTCACAGACGCTGAACATTGCTGTGCCCATATTCTTTGGGGTCTTTCGGTAAAGTCACGTAGATAGGTGCAAAGAAAAATAACAGAAGCAACTGCGACGTGTCGATCGCCATCCATCTCACGCGACTTTTACCGAAAGACCCAAAGAATATGAATTCCTGCCGTCACGGAAAGCTTTTCTAAGAGTTTTAAGTCAAGATTGCCGTTGCCCGTCATTTGTTACGTTAAAAAAAAACACGGCTGTTGTCATAATATTAAGCGAATCCGTCGTTGTTGAGTTCCGCGTTCATTGGACGCAACGTTAAACTATTTAAGAAGGTAAATAACAACAATTCTGACACGTTTTCGTTCATGGCGACTGATTTTTTTGCGCGTTTGCCACCAGTAGCCTCGCGATAAAATGCACAGGGCGCAAGTTCTAAGGTGATTGAGGGCCCTGTGGCTATGGGGGCCCTGGCTCACTCGCTGCTGCCCCCCCCCTCCACCTGCTCTGGATCACCCCCGCGATGGGCTTCAAATCTCGCCTCCACAGAAA